ATCTTTTGGTAGAGATTGTAGCAAGCCGCCATGTAGATTGAAAGTTCTGAAACGGACTTTAGCTCTCCATAATTCAACAAATGAATAGCTGCAAATATAGTGGATCAATTCGAGGGACACTCCTTTGCGCGTAGCCAACAAAGTTGGCTATGCGTGGGGGGTGCGAATAGAGTGTAAGCTACGGACCAATGTACATTATCACATAATTCACTCTAAGACTCGAAGCCAAAGGGTTGCGACAATGGCCCTTTTGGCTCAAGACCCACTGCAGCGTCAGAGAAAACAATTGCAATGCGGAAGCTGATGCCCTTGTAACGTCATCACTGGAACATCCACTTTGACATTGACTATCAGGACATAATCGGACAGACAATCACCGATTCGCAATACACATCCATGCCTCCTTGCAGAAAGGTATACTTAGAACCCCTAGGATCTATACCTTTACATACCTATATACAAATATGTATATATTATATTTATTTATATGAAAAAGTCCGTCGCTATGTATTTATATATACACATGCATGCCTCCATGCAGAAACGTGTATTTAGAACCCCTAGGATCCATACCTTTGCATATCTAAAATACTACGTGTATATTTACATATATATATACATGAAAGAGTCCGTCGCTATATTATATTTATATATACACATCCCTTCCACCATGCAGAAACGTATCCTTAGAATCCCTAGGCCTATACCTTTACACATCTAAAATAACATATATATATACATGAGAAAGCCCGTTGCTCTATATTTATATATACACATCCATGCCTCCTTGCAGAAACATGAAAGAGTCCGTCGCTATATATTTCTATATACGCATCCATGCCTTCTAGTACAAACATGCATCTGGTGGCTCCAGAGGAGGCGGACAGTAAACAACATCATGGTTGTATACGCAGATCCAGAAAAGGTTCCAAGTACAACATTTCCAATGGTTCTATCTCGTGGGTGAAATGGTTCTATCTCGTGGGTGGCGAGGGCATTCTAAGTATCGATTTTCGGGTTCTAACTCGTGGGGTCGGATTTTCGCCAACTTTTCCAAAACGGGGTTGTAACTTTGTGTCCGCAACCATAGATAGATAGATAGATAGATAAATAGATAGACAGATAGATAGATAGATAGATACATAGATAGATAGATAGTTAGATAGGTAGATAGATCGATCTGTCGATCGATAGATCGATCGATCTATCGATTGATTGCTCGACAGGTAGGTAGATAGATAGATAGATAGGTAGATAGGTAGATAGATTGGTAGATACATAGATAGATACATCGATAGATCGATAGATAGATCGATCGATCGATCTGTCGATCGATAGATCGATCGATCTATCGATCGATTGCTCGACAGGTAGGTAGATAGATAGGTAGATAGGTAGATAGATTGGTAGATACATAGATAGATACATAGATAGATAGATAGATAGGTAGATAGATAGATAGGTAGGTAGGTAGGTAGCTATGAAGATACATCAATAGATAAATAAATAGATAGATAGATAGATAGGTAGATAGATAGATAGATAGATGGACAGATAGACAGATAGATAGAATAGATAGAATAGAATATAATAAAATAAAATAGAATAGAAAAGAATAGAAAAGAATAGAATAGAATAGAAAGATAGATAGATAGATAGGTAGGTAGGTAGGTAGATAGGTAGATAGGTAGATAGATAGACCATTGATAGATAGATTATATTGGATTCGATTAGATTGGACTGGACTAGACTAGACTACGGTAACGACATTTAAATATGTGGAGGGCAAGCCAGACCGCGAAGCCCAGGAGGTAGCATAAAATACCAGTTCGTATATATTATTTAAATGTAGTTATTGTATGTTTAAATGAATTGGATTCCGTATGTTTAAATGGCCGGGCGGGCCAAGGAAAACCTTCCCGGAGGTAGTCTAAAATACCTGTTCAGCCTGTTCGTATATTTTAAAATCTGTATATTTAAATGTAGTTACCGTAGATTAGATGGATACATAGATCGATCGAGAGATGGATAGACAATTTGGCAGATAGACAGGCAGACGACAGACAGACAGACAGACGGACAGACAGACGGACAGATAGACGGACAGATAGACGGACAGATAGACGGACAGATAGACGGACAGATAGACGGACAGATAGACGGACAGATAAACGGACAGATAGACGGACAGATAGACGGACAGATAAACGGACAGATAGACGGACAGATAGACGGACAGATAGACGGACAGGTAGACGGACAGATAGACAGACAGATAGACAGACAGATAGACAGACAGATAGACGGACAGATAGACGGACACATAGACGCAGAGAGACGGACAGATAGACGGACAGATAGACGGACGGATAGACGCACGGATAGCCAGACAGATAGGCAGACAGATAGGCAGACAGAGAAGCAGACAGATAGGCAGACAGATAGGCAGATAAGTAGATAGGTAGATAGACAGCTAGACAGCTAGACAGAGAGAGACAGACAGAGAGAGAGAGAGAGGGAGATAGATAGAGAAGAGAGAGAGATCGAGATAAATAGTCAGAGAGATAGGAAAACAGATAGACAGGCAGACAGATAGATAAAGACAGAGAGACATGGAGAGAGAGGGAAAGAGAGAGAATAATAATAATAATAGTAAGAATAATAAGAATAATAATAAATCAACCACCTTTCGGTCCATCAGTGGATTCGCTCTGCCATCCATGCATCACAACAACTCACCTCTCCTGCTATAGTTTCCTATCATCGAAACTTCCGCCACCGCCTTGCGCGGTACTTCTGGTAAGTTTCTCAATAATCGTAGATTCCAAATGGTACTGTACACAGTTGCTACATACACGAAGACTTTCTGTTCGATCTGTCAGGATGATCCTCAGCTTTCTATGCCTCTTTTCGTCTTGGGCTCTGTTGGTGTGAGTAGTATTTGGCAGCAAAATTTCTCAAACTGTTGTCAGGTTTGTAGATTGATGTTCACAAGGTTCGTTCCAAGCAGTTCAGAAATTGCGGGATGTGACCAGTTTGTACCCTCTTCAAGGCTCCTGCAAAAATTTTCACCACGGCGGACTCCACTACTCCTTTCTACTCCATAGGTGGGGCAGACTTTCATTGAAGGTTGTTGTTTTTCCATGTTTTTCCATTTTTTGTTTTTTGGCACACAGCATGTTGTTATTTTGACCGACTACACTCAACGCTGTTGGCTTACATTAATCTGATCGGCATGTTCATTCATGCCAAGCGAGAAGATAATTGCTCATGTCATTTGATTTCGAAAAAAAACTACGTACACACAACGAACCTTCACTCTTTCAAAGATGCAGAGTGCCTTCTCCTCTACATGCCCTCATCTGTGTCCACACTTCTAAACAGGCAGGATTCACTTCCGAGCAGTTCGGACATCCAGACTCCAGAAAGAAGGTTGCATGAAACACCTTTTCACCCAGAGGGATCGCGTCAGGACTACAGGTCCCAGTGAATGTCAGTTCAGTGGATAAAGCCGATGAGGTGTGGCATCCACTTTTGGTTTGCAGAAAGAATCGGGCAGTTCATCACGACTGAAATCATAAATCATCAGAAAATTGCACGTTTTGCGGATGCTGAATGATGGTGATACCATGTGATACCATGTGATACCAAGCAATCAAAAGACATGTCATGTTTTGCAGCTCAAAAAAATCCGCAGATCGTGGCAAGTGCGGAGAAAGGAGAGCCCCAGGCCCAATGGTCCATTGGGATCGGCCGTGGAACCGTTGGAGAACCGAGAACTTTTAGGGCGTTCCTAAACTCGGGATGTCAGGGGAAGAATCTAGGGCCCTAGGGGTTCAGAATGGTTCAGAGATCAGGGTGCTGACAATGGCTTTGCTATACCGTATACCCTGTTTTTCAGACAAAGTCGTCTACATTCGTCATCATTCGTCTACAATTTAGACGATTTGCAGATTGAATTCCTCGCTTGAATGGTGACATTGTCTCGAGCTGAACTGAAAGTGTACATACATTTTTTGTGCGGCTTCATTTCCTCACAGCCTGCCCGGACAACATGATCCATCTTTCATGTATTGACACCCTTCTCAATTGTGTGCCGAGATATCAAGATATGTCAAAGCAACTCAAAACATCACTGCTGGCTACCGCATGCTGAACAATGTTGACCTGCTGCAGGTCTACAAGATCTTTGCTCCTCGTCCTTTGCCAGAGGAGGAGTTGGACAATTGGCACCTCGCCCTGAATTGTTGGTAAAGAGTGTCATCAGCGAATATCAGCGAGCCTACTTCAAAAAAGAGAACATGCATGAACATGTTAAATTGCCCGCAAACGTGTGGTTGATGGGTCTATATCTAGAAAGTCGTGCCTCATGACCTGCCCTGACTTTCTTGAGCTCTTCAACTGACAAGCTGTTTGAAATGACACATGTTGATTTCAGAAATCTTGTCTTACAAGCATCGCTTGCTTCAGGTTCAACCGATCTCCAGGTACTGCTGTGCAGGTTGTCGACTGGTGCCCCAAACAGCAGAGCAGCACCTAGAAATTGCTGTTGGTTATCGGTTATCGGTTATTCCCTGAGAAAATCGTGTAGAGGAGTTCTACTTCGCTGTAGAGAATCGAGATGAAGTAGGTTATGAGTCATGTGTGGGAAGTCTTGAAAGGTCGGACATGAGTGGCACGCTTTACACTGAAATTCAGAAGCAACAAACAGAGGGGCACGATTTCACTTGGCACTGCGTCGTCCACTTGTCTTTCGGAGTTTGCAAGTCAGAGATCATCCAGAGAGACCAAGGTGACCAAGGGGCGGGCTTGATATTCTGACAGGAATTCAATGATTATCCCGGCAAGATGTACTCTGCACTGTTTATAAGAATTTAAGCACTTGGGCCTGCTGTTTTGCTGCCAAAAAAGGTTGATGATAAAAGCCAATGATGATTGTATACGTGTGACAGTGTGTCTTCGCAGCTGTTTGTGCACTTGGTCGATCAAACATCGGGTGGCAGGCTAGGATTGATTGACAGGAGACTCCATGTCTAGCCTGAATCGGTCCATGTACCTCTTGTTGGCGCTTGTCTGTATATATCCCCATGTGACCTTCACGGGCTTGCTCTCAAGCAGTCCGGCACGCGGTGCTCTATGTCGACGGGCAATGGATTCTGTCTTCAGCATTGTTCATCCCAACTTCCAAGGGCGCTTGTCCGATGAAGCTAAGAGAGCTCGCATGGACGAGCTGCTGCAAAAGGCAACAGCAAAGGCCGCTGAGGAAGGTTACGTCTTGAGCCGAGAAGCAGAAGACTTTCACAAACGGAAAGGCTGGAGCACCAGGCAAGTGCAACAGTGGTTTGACAAGCATCAAAACGGTTTGTGGTGTCGACTTCTTTTTTCAGCACGTAAGAAAGGCAACCGGCAAATGACAGTGATCACAGCCAAAGTGTGGGATCAGGAGATGGAAATTCACTTGAGCCAAGCAGATACTAACACCAAGATAGTGGTTGTGAAAGATCTGACAAACCTCAAGCTCTTCTGCGCTGTTGCGGGAATTGGCTACACAAAGACCATCCCAAAATAAATACCGCAAGGGAGACAGGTCCTCATAGTCCTGGGCAGAAACCTGTCATGGTAATTCAGAAGTCCGCTCCCGCATCAACAGAATGTGGATTTAAGCGCAGCCCGTTGTTGAGTGCGTGACATGGAGTGCCTTGATCATCCAAGCCGCACCCTTTTTCTAAGTCTCAGCACCCAACGGATCCTTGCACTCAAAACGCAAAGTCTACCTCCGGCCAGAGGCTGACCTGTACAGCCCCTAACAGAAACACGCACTGTAAGCAAGGGACAAATGTATTATGGATATGTCGTTGGAAGCATTTAGCCCCTGCCCGCATCTATGATATTCTCTCATGACAAGGCTATTCCAATGTTCGTTTGCATTGTTTTGTGCATGTAATACAGTATAGTGTATTAAAATATGTATTCATATAATTTGCGGCATAACTTAAGATTTATATATAATATATTATATGTGATTATATAATTATATTATATATATAATTAATATATATATATACATATATTACATATGATTCTATATGTGTATGTTTTGCATCAAGTAAGTCGCCTAAGCAAGTTCCAAGATTGTTGCTGCAAGTATTTGCAAGGCATCCGAGACAAACAGCTGTCACTTTCAGGTACGCTTATCCGCAGTACACAGTGCCACAGAGCTTCCAGCCTTTTGTTTTGGATCAGGATGGAGTGCGGGTCTCAGACTAAGCCCATCCCTTTTCATTTGGGTGCTTCCCTCCATTCAAAAACAGGTGTTAGTCCAAAGTGTAAGGGTTGCAGGATGTTGCAGGAACTCGTATGCTATGTCCTTTGGAAGGCCAAATCTTCAGGAAATGTATGGAAATGTATTGTGAGTCTCGTATGGCGTTCTGACAGCAGTAAACCATTTCGCCGTCCGGACAGTTGAGGTGTACTATATCAATGCCATTGAGCAGGCCTGACTTGAGCCTATTGGCGACAAAGACCAGATGCATCGTCAAAGTGAGTTGTACCGTTCCAACATCTTCCAATCCCTGCACTGCCTTCCACAGGGATAGGTCCGGTCCACATGTGGTAACAGCTCGAAGATCTTGAAGGACAAGAAGTCAGACTGCAGTTTTAACATGTTTTAACCATCCTTTGCGAAAGGTCTTGACACGTCCAGAGTCTATCGTTTGCAGGTTGCTTCAGCCATGGAGATGTTTGGTCCTTAGGCAAGGACAATTTAGAGATATTTAAATGAGGACGTGGTAGGGCTGACTTGCAAAGTTGTTTGTATCTGAAATGTCGACATTGCCATGTTGAAAAATGTTGAAATGTCATGAAATGTCATGAAATTTCTCTCCTTTAAGCGTCGGCTCCTTGGACCCCACTGAGGTCCTTGATCGGTGCGCGGAATGTCGCCAATTTGATCGAAGATTGGGCAGGATGCTCACTGCCAGGATTATCGCTTCCTTTATGCCGTAATCTGCCGTACCTTTTCATATGTTGAGTTTGGTTAGTTTGATTTTGGTCTTTTTACTCACAACTTCCAAGGTGGCACAGCGCAGAGGGCCTCGTGGCTTTTGACGCAGCAACGGCCTTTGGCAGGACATTTTGGACACATTTTGGACACTGGGTATGGCTCAAAATGATTTACTGTACCCCAAAGAAGAATAAAGAAGACAGATTCGAGATTGTTCAATATTAAGAAGATGAATGAAGATGAATGAAGATGAGCAGTTTGCATGGGTTGCAAGGGCAATGCCAGTCTGACTTGAGCTGGTCTTTTGATTCCTTCAGTTGACTTTCAAGATCAATTCATCGACTTTGAAGTGTTTCTATTTTTTAGCATAAATGAATTACAAGCTGCATGTTCTCGTTCCTAGCTATGCGCAGTTTTGATGAATTCTTTTGGGATCATTGGTAGCCAATTTCTGGGCCGGCCACCTTTTGAATCCTTTTGATATAACAGATCTCACAGAGATTGCAGTAAGGAGGCGTCAAAGAATTTGTGTAAACGGCCAAAACCGATCCAAGAGAGATGGATAGACTCGTCACAGACGGCTCTAAAATGATCTGAAAAGAAAACGAGGTAAGCCCCCTGTTTGTCCACTGGAGCTGTTCGTGAAAACTCCCAGTGTGCCAGGCTTTTGACATGGCTGCTGAACGCTGGCAGTTGGCAGTGCTACATGTCCTTTGTTGCATCCATGTCCATAGGAAGTTATCAAAGTTAAGGTTGCAGAAGATGTCATTGACGATATTGCCACTTCTAACATGACGCGTAATTGAGCTTCATCCACAAAAGGCATCGCAGAAAATAAAGGCTCTGGACAAGCCCTTGCTAGCATTGCAGGGCCATGCATGTGCATAGCTAGGACCTAATCTTAAGACAAGGCTGAAGCGACAACGTTTCGCTACGGCTTGTTGTCATGTAATGCTCCCGCAAGTGGTATCGATTTGGCGCTTGCTGACCCGCTTCAACTGAACATTCAGTGCATTGTTCAGATGAAATTGTTTGACCAAGACTACCTACCGCAGATGAAAGCAATGACAGTGTCAATGTAGATTAACTGTAGATAGAGGTTGTAGCTCATTTTTACCTGAAGGGATAGTTGGAGTTCCTTTGTGATTGGAGCTTAAAAGGACCCAGTCCATGTCTTGTTTCTCCAGAAATTCTAGTGATCAGCATGTGAAGAGAAACATGTGCAGCGACTTGTTATGCAATACGAGCCGGTTGCGTTCAGGCAATGATTCCTGGTGTGTCGTTCACACCCTGTTGGAAAGACAACAGAGCCGTCAGAACCATGTTGAATGTTGAAGGCTTATTGTTTCATTACTTTACTGGAAAAAGTTGTGCTGCGATCGTGCTTGTGTGACATGTTTTTTTGTGAATAGCGAGTTTGAAGAAATTACAAATGTTCCTGGTTCAGTGCCAGTTCTTTGGGGCATACAAGCTGACGAGAACAGAACCACACAGGCCTCAAAGTGCCCTGATGATACATCAATACGACTTTGTACTGTAGGTACTAAATGGCACGATGGTGTCTCAATATGTTATGTTAATATTTATGTTTATGTTTATGTTATGTCAAGCGTTATTGTCGCTCATTGTCGGGCTGACGCTAAGCACATCTTACTGTACCCAAGTTCTGGATCGAATGTATAGAACATTAATTATAGAACATTGTAGAACGAGCCTTGAAAGAACTCCACCACGTCCACGTGCAAAACCTTGTCCGATTGACAGACAATTGACACCTCATGTCGTGAGACTTCTGCATCTTAGATTATTCGGCCTGCGCTCTCAAGGCCGCAGTGGCCCTAGCTGTGAGGTATTGAGTGAGTCAGCCAAGACAGAGCTGCTCAATTTGCTGATTCCAATCAATGTCCAACCCATTGTTTCCGTCCCGCTTCGAATCAGCGATGTTCCCAGCACCTGTTTGCAATGATTTGCGTTGCTTACATGGACACCACAGTTTGCTTTCCGGATATGCACTGACCTTCACTACCGTGCAACCTGTAAAGCCAACATGTGTCAAACTAGGAAAAGAAAACTGCAAGGTGCATCAACTGCAGGCAACTGGATCCCACATTCCAGATCAGGTTGCAAGTAACCAGGGTGCAAAATCCGTCCAACAGTGCATGTTGATGGAGGGTGGGCGCATGACTTAGACTGTTCCAGGCTGCCAGGCTGCCAGGCTGCGTTGATGGAGGGTGTTTGTGAAGCCTGTGGTGTCAAGTTGTCAAGGTATGCTCCTCGTGTGCATGCCCATCTTGGAGGCGGTTTAAGTCCAGATGCAGCGTGTGTAGATGTTCATTCTTGTCCCGCGGACACAAGTTTATTAGGACACAAGATGACACAAGTAGTTTATGGATGACAAAGTTATACAACGTGTTTGTTGGCCAAACACATGCTGCGGAAGCATTCTCAATCATCCTTGCCAGTCCACTCATGGCAAAACGCAACGTCTCAACCAGCAAAGTTCCCAGCTGCAAAGTCGTGGTTTGACTTGGCAAGTTTTTTGCTTCATAGTTTGCTCTTTGTTTGATCTGCCTTTACTGAGACCATGAATGTGATGCAGACACCACACGTGGAACGTCGGGGAGGTTCGCTTGGGTTCTCTTGAGTTGTTGTTTGAGCAGAGTTCAGTGCACTCTTGACGCAAATGCAAATTGCGGATGCGTCAGTCCTTCCATGGCCTCCTACAGTGGTGTCCTCAGACTATGACTGTTTGATATTGTTTGATACTGTTTGGCTGTTTGGCGTGCTTGAAGTCACTGATGATGAGTCTCTCTTGCCCTCAACAAACTATGAAGGCTTCACGGCTGACCTTCACCCCGCCTCCACGGAGCTTTCCATGGCCAATGGGAACAGTCGGAACAGTGTCTCCGGTGTCTCCTGTGGTCGTGAACGGCATTTTGGCCATCCTGGCATTTTGTGGTGGATTGAAGATTCTGTGGAGCCGGAAAGAATCGGAAAGAGGTGCTTCCCACAAGAAAATTTGTCTGTGACAGGTCCAGACACCTCCATCTGCTTCGAGTCCAGGGGAGGCTGTGTGGAAATGTGTGGAATGTGGATTCTATGAATTTCTATGAACTCTTCGGTTTCAGATGTGGACTTGGGAGGCGGATTCACCAAATGCCTTGACTCCCAGTCGTCAGGTTCCGGCAATCTGATGTCTTAGAGGATCTTAGAGGAATTAGAGGAATTAGATGTCAGATATGTCAGATGGACTTGTGATGGGTTCTGAGTTCATATGATTTCAATACGATTTCCTTCATGGCTTGGATTTGCACAGGTGGTGCGTGCACTTCCTCGTCAAAGCACACCATTGACTCCTTCCATTGTCGCACGGGGGCCGGGCCCCTTTGGCTCACAGGCGCCAAATCGGCGATGCGAGAACTCCAACCACAGCTCGTCTAGAGATCAATGGGAGCATTGCGGGAGCATAGACGTGTGGTTTTCAGGGAGGACATTGAGACTCAGATGGTTTTTGAATGTTTTTGACCCTTCGAGCCTTCAGGCCCCTGTGGTCCTGGGTCCAAGTAGTTGTCCCGCGGCCCAGACACTGGTTAGAGGACAGCTGGGACAGGATGCAGAAGGAATGAGAAGAAGGAATCAAAAGAGTTGTGTCAACTTTTCAAGTGCAGAGAGCAGATGCTTGAGCTTGGAAACACTGACTACGCTTCCAGAGGCATCCTACCATTCATCTCTTTTGGCTCAGAGTCGGAACGTTTCGGAAGTATGTACCATGAATCTAGCGCAATGTCCAGGGAGAGCCACTGGCTGTGGGATTTGTTGGTTTTAGTAGATTCTGGAAACTCTATTCTTTAGAGAGTGGCATTTTTTCGTATTTTGACGTCATGTGCTTGCAATGCTGCAATGGTGGAAACCCTCCCCCTTGGCAACTCTGTGACTGGGCGGCGACGTTATTGATTTCTTTGGAGTGGGAGCTCACGCCTGCTTTCTTTCTTAAAGGATCAACGTGGAATTAGCAAATGCAAAATGTGTCTTCGTACATTCCCGTCTAGAAAGTCTTAAAGAAATCTGTCAGCTGGATGGTTGCCTTTCTTGGGCTTCGCATGCTTGCCTACCTACCAACCAAGGTTGAGCAAGCGGAGCTTTCATTGCTCTTTGACTGCACTCTCATGACATGTTCCAAACAGTTCCTTCCAGTTCTATCCATTTCTTGCAAACCTGTTGCATCTTCTCACTGCGCTTGTCCTGCGTCCTGCGCATCCTGGCAGGCTGCTTGCTGAACGGCAAAGGACTGGTGATGTGGCACTTCAAAATGGCCTTCGTGCAGTCTTCTTTGTCCCATTCAGGACCTGCGCCACACGAAAGCAACCCCAACAGCAGTGGAAGATGCCCTGTGCGCTTGGCAGCATAAGAGCACGACTTGGTAGCTGGAGGGGGTTGATACACGGTTTCATTGGTTTCGCTGAGACTGGCTGAGCCTAGTTTGGCAGCCGTCATCCTTGCGCTGGTATCGATTTGGAACAGTTGCAGTTCGTCAACATGTGTCAATGCTTTGTTACAAGAACTCTCGGAAAGACTAACCAGTTTGTTTGCCCATGTTCTCGTGTGATTTTTTCAAATTTTGAGACTGTTTCTCATGCAGTTGTCGGATTGCTGTGCTGGCAACTGAGAAACTGTTCCTGTAATTGCATAGTGAGACATGGTGAGATCAAAAGCATAGGACATCATAGGACACACAGGACACGAACATCCATCCTGGCATATCCTGGCTCCTTCAAGGCACCGTTTTAGGATGGGACTGACTTGGCATGGGAAAAATTGGGAAACCATGATATCTGCAGCACAGGTCCGCGAAGCCTCGTGGGAAGCATTTGCAACCCTAAGAAATGGAGCCAGAAGTGATCCTTTCTTTGTAGGCTGTGAGGCGGGACACAACCTGCATAGTTTTAGCGAAACCTCATCAGTGTCACTGAAGAGGGACATGTCTGTCTTTCTCTTAAATGTTCATAATGTTTACATATGTTCACATATTTGATGAAGCAGTTGTATGCCGAATGTAGCTTAGATTTCAGATGATTTCAGTTGTTTTTCCGATTCTGTGGAGTGGACATATTCAAAGTTGAATTCCTGCCAGCCTGAAATTTTGTACACTGCTGTTGTTCACTGTCAACATACGGATAGCATCGGATAGCTGTGTTGCTTGTTTCATGCTGAAACCGCTAAAACCAGGTTTTGATGGTTTTTGTATGTTTTTGTTTCCCTTACTACAGTAGTGTGTCTTTGCATCAATGCAGGCTTTTCTATGCTCCTCAAAAAGAAAAACGTGTTTGATCTCGTACGTCGTACTTCGTTTTTTGGTGTTGTTTGAACTTTTCGAACGATTTCGAACGCTTGGAAAAATGGTAGTGAGGGGAACACATTTCATACCACCCATTGCTCAGACGCAGATTTTGCGGGAGTACCAAAAATGGTGGCGTCCTCAGAGTTTTTGTAAAGATTTGTAAAGTCCACACTGGATGTGGATCCCACATCATACATCATCATACTGCATTTGGAGATTTTGGAGGCATCCTTCTACATTGGCTTCGATTTGCGTCAATTTTTCTCGTTTGCGGCCTGCTGGGCACAAAGCCACTGTTTGGTCCTTGGATTCAATGGAACAGTGCGTATTGCGAGAGAGGATGAAATATAGACCATGTGACCATGTTTTTTAAAGCTGCTTTTGTGTTGCTTATTGTTCTGTTTATTTGGGATTTGGTTTGACATGAGCCTAGGAGCAGCTCTTGCGACGCTTGCTATGGAGCTGGGACCTTTGGTTTTGCGGCGACGACGCTTCAATGTGTAGCGATTCATCGCCCAAGGAGCGGATCGGCTGATTCGTCATCTCCGTGGGCAAGAACTCCTCGCTCTGCTGGAGGTACGGGAGCCGCTGTCATAGATCCTGCCAAGGTTTTGCAGTTCAATGGTTTATAGTTTGAAGATGTTTGAAGATGCTTGAAGATGTTTGAACACTTGGAAGCGGTGGGATTGGTATTGGATCCAGAGGTTTGGGGTCCATAGGATTTCTATGAATTTTTATTTGCGTATGTTCGTGTCATTGAAATTGTGGTGTGAAGGTCTTTGCTCTGCGAGATTTACGAGAGCATGATCCAAGGCAGTTGATTTTCCTGATGCGGATGCAGAAAGACTCTTGCAAAATGCATGCAATACTCTAATTTTGGGAGCTCGCTGCCAGATTCAGATAGCAGATGATAGCAGCGGGGAGATACTTTGGTGAGCCCTGATTCTTGAGAGATGCTCGGTGAAGGCGCCCTGACTTGTTCATAGAGGCAGTTCAACGACTTCAAGAAGAGGCTCTGGGTTCTTTGGGCATGGCATGCCATGGCTGCCATGGCTTCCATGGCCATGGCATGGCTTTGGTCACTCGGTGACTGGATCTGGATACATCATGATACATCTGGATGTCTTGAGTTGTCGAGTTGTCGATGTTGTCGTCTGTCGCCACCAGGTTGGTCATCTTGGCCTGAGCGAAGTGCGGTGTGGCGCTGAGAACAGCACTGGAATCCAGGCCAAGTCGGCCAAGTCAATGAGGTCCTCCTGCGTTGTTTGTTTACAAAAGTTTTACAGAGGCGAATCGCCGCGCTCTACAAGCAACTCAACCTGCGGAACGTTTCGGTGGCATGTTTGTATGCTCCGATCATCCACAATCCACCCAAGTGGCTCCACCTAAGTGGCTTAGAAAGTAAAGTCGTTGGAACCTGTCTTGCATTGACTTGTGTGAATGATGTGAATGCACCTGCATGAGCAGGAAGAGCTTTTTCAATCCCTGGGAACGCGGCTGGAAGAACTTCTGCAGGTGGGCTGAAGGGTGGATCGCGGGCTGCAAAGTACCCAAGTGCAACTCCCATTTGCAGGCATCGGCCAAGACCACTGAGCTTGACACCCAGTTCAATGGTCTGGCGAATGTGCATTTTCAGAAGAAGATGAAGAAGGGCTTTGTTCCACTAGACGTGGTTTTATGATGTTTAGCCGTTTACTGTAGCCTGTTTACATTTGACTGCGGCTGCAGGCAGGTGGCAATTAGGCCAAGGAAGCTTCGATCGTCAGGCTTGATGTGATTTGGTGTTGATGCATCAAATCCGTTCAAATCCGTTCAAATCCTTATATACCCCTCGGTCCAAAGCATCAAGAAACCCACTTTGTGGACAGCTGATGGTTTCACGAGAGGCACGGCTGAAGCTGCGGTGATGGCTTTTCTTGGAGCTTGCGGTCGCCTGAACATTGTGCCGTTGCAGGCATCAGGCTGCAGGAAGTCTGGATACGAATTGAAGACAGTTCCCTGTTGTGATTGGCAATGGTTGATACTATCGATACTGTACGGGAAGCTCGAAGCAGGAGACCCTTTCAAAAAATGTTGATAATGTTGTAGACGAACAGAGAACAATGAGAACAAAACCCTTTATATACTTTTACATTTTTTTGATATCATGCCAAACGCCCGAGCAAGTGCATTTAATGTGGTACTGGCACATTGATATGATATGTGCTGAACTTTGAGTCCATGGCCCGACATAACAGGCGCAGAACCTGCTTGAGACCGTTGGCCCATCTGCTCGCGCCAAGAACGACTTGCCACGACTTGCTGTTGCTAGGCTTCAGTATGGCATTTCAAGTCGCAACCGGCATGATGCTGCTGCATAATCCAATGATCTTATTTTCAGTTTCAACTTTAGGGAAAGATACGCATTTGGTCATGAGAGAGCAATTTCTGCACAAGCACCTTCCCTATGCCAAACCCTAAAACTGCTGGATCCAAAATAATCTCCATATATCTCAAATTATCTCAATATTCTCTAGATCTATACATACTACCGTAGATGGAAGAAATATTCAAACCCCTTCTATCCGGTACAAGCCCCTCGCCCCCAAAGTTCAATGTTAATCTAACCTGAAGTGCATTAGCCCCAATGGACGAAAAAAATCAAACCCCTAACATCACTTTTGGTAACACGTGCGCTGAAACATTGAGATTTCGGGGTGCGGGGGTTCAACATAGTGCGTGTTGCAGGGTTTGAATATTGTGTCATATTGTGTCCATCTACTGTAGTAGCAGAGTGCAGATAAAGGTTAGTGACTTTAGTGACGGAGTGGCATTCACGCGCCTTGGAAATGGAAACAGCGAGGCCTTGGCACAGCTTGCTGCAAAGTTCGGTTGTGCTGAAACTGGGGAAGCCCTCGCCTGAGCGGCCGAAAAAAGAGTGAAGCGTTTGACCATGTTTGACCGTTGACGAAATCAGACGATTTTTTGCTGGAGTCTTCTCTGCTGATGTTTTGGATAACTACCAATTTGATCACAGTCGAATATGTTTGGATCAATGTTTGCCCCAACTGGACATAAGTGGACAAGTGTGAGGCCAATCGCATCCTCTTGTTTGTCAGCACTGCCTTTGAACGAGCAGTTCCAGACAATCCAACGCGAAAAGGCTACGCTTCTCAAGCTGTGTATGGCCAGCTCTTGCTCGCGTTGATTTTTGACGAATCGACCTGCGAAGTCCGCGATCGAACCCTGGTCGCTTCCGTGCAAGCCGTACGCTCTGCCTTTGGTGAAGCACTGGGCTCCTTGGACGAACGCTTGGCTCGACAACTGCAGGCGCGAGTCTTTGAGCGCCGATTTGTTGTTTCCAAGGATGCAAAGATGGGAACTTCGTTTGCACGGATCACATCATATCACATTATATCACATTGAGACGGCAATATGTCCATCATTGTTTATCCAATTCATTGGTCTTTGTGGCCGCAGGTTGTTGAGCTGGCTTGTCGAGTTGAACGGCCTGGTGCATTGCAGACCCTGGAGACCAAAGGGCTCACCCTTTTCCTTGAAGGCTCTTGAAGCGTTTCAGCCGTGGAATACTTCTGAGTTTGGCCACCACATGTAGCATGATGTGACACCTAAAGAGACACGTCCTTTCCGTGTCGTCCTTTCCTTTCTCTGGATCGCATCGAAAGTTTGCAATCTTTGATGATTTTGATGGCCTTGGGATGCCACGGCAAAGGTGTCAAGAACTTGCAGGAAAGCGACGCCTTGCCTTTGCCCAAATGCTCGTCGCAGCAGCATCTCCAGGCAGCTTGCAGAAGAGAAGATCTTTGTTTGGACGATGTGGACAGTTGAAATGTTATGATATGTAATGGTTAATTATGATGGATATGATTGTTGTTTGTTTGATGTTTGACAGATTGAAAACGATTTCACAAGAAGAGTTCGTCACTTCTGTCCCCATTAAGTCCCAAATGAAGTCCCACGTGGATAGGTTTCTGGAGCGCTTCAAGAGCTCGGAGTGAACCACCGGATGGAGGTGCCCCTCGCCAATAGAAAGGCATTGCTTCTTTTGCCTGGCTGATACCGTCCATGTGATACTGAAAGCATTTGAAAGCTTACCTTATGATAGTAATCTATCATAATCTATCATATAGTGTTTTATGAAACTTACATATGAATGTTTGAGGATTCTATATGATTATGATTCTATTGTAGAATTATTAGACAATTTTGATGATAAGCACCAGAACTGAAGGCTAGCAGTTCTTTTCCAGCACCCGCTAATTACTGCTCAGCATTTGCTAAGCTTCAGCAGGAGAAGCTGCAACCGTACATCGCGGACGTCCGTTTGACCCGGCGACAGGGGCTGATCGAGATCGACGGCACCTTGACGAATCAACGAACTGCGCTGGTAGCAAGTCAGACACGTTGCCGTATCGGTCCCACATGGTCCCAATCCTTTACCAGTGCCGTGAACAGCACCTTTCAGCGGGATCTAATTTACAGGATTTCAATATTGGCCCATCGTCAACGGATGCTTTCTTCAAGGTGTTTGGTAGGTCGAGGGTTGGGCTGCCAGCAGTGGCTTTGGATTTTGTCACATGCATAGTCCGTCTCAGCTCAAATCTTTGCATATAGTTTGGTAAGTCGCTTTGGCACAGATCATGGCTGCTATATAGGGGGTGCACGAACTTCTGGAGAAGATACATCAATGACTAATTATGTTATCAAATTATCAATGAATATGTATTGATATCCTCTTCCAGTAGTAATACTGGAGTTGAAAGCTGGCAGACTGAAGCTTCGGACTTAGACTTGGGGATAGGCCCATGCCAGACTCCTGCTGGAAGAAATCCTGCAAGGATGTAAAAGAATATTTCATAGTCTGGCCTTGTCCTATGGATCTCTTGGGATCTTGATTTACATACATATATAATCATATATATATATATAATGATATGATATGATATGATATGATATGGTATGATATAATACAATATATAATGTAAGATAATATTATATTATATTATTTAATATAATATAATATAATTTAATATAATATAATGTAATATAATGTAATATAATGCAATATAATGTAATATAATATATAATATAATGATCCTCCCCCTTTAACCCTGGAATATTTGGGAGGGGTAAGGCAAGAAAATTCTGAGAAATATTTCACCCGACCACGTGAAATATCCGCCCCCCCACGTGTTTTTTGGGCTTCCAAAAGAGGTGGGGGGGGTCCTCCGCCCTGGTCTTTGAAGATACTCAGAAACGGAATCCTACTGCTGCAATGGAATTTCTGAGGGGGGGTTCTAGAGCTGTAAAATACAATGGTTTTGCACCTCCCCCCCTCAAAAATTTCTCAAGCAAAGCTTGGGGAGAGAAAAAACATGGAAATGTACGCTTCAGCTGGTTTGCACGTACCTGACCCGCTGATGCATAATTGACAGCGCTAAGATTTCTTATTGCCTTATTCTACCGTATATAAAACCGTTTTTTTTAGCTGAAATATTTCTAGGTGGGGAGGGGTAACCCCAGCGGCGCGGCATCGGCCTCAGCGGCTCCATCGGCCTCATCAGCGTCGTGGGCTGCGATATAGCCTCCAAGTGTCGAGCATACGGCTACGGGGGCAACCCCCCAAAAGTAAAATATGTCAGTGCTAACCCCCCACCCCCCTTAAAAGGGGGGATATGTAATGCAATGTAATGTAATGTCATGTAATGTAATGTACAAGATATAATAGATGATATTTTATATATAATCTATAATATATATATATAATATAATATAATATAATATAATATATAATATATATTATATAATATGTAATTGCTAAATTAAATAATTCAGGTCGGTTCAGGTCAGCTTGGGTTTTTATCTCCAGGCTAAATCCCACCTGCATGATACATATCAGATTCAAACAACATGATTTTTGGCAAAAAATGCAGCGTGTAATTACTCAACAAATTCAGTGTTTCAAACGGTACATGGCCTTGCATTCGAAAAAAGGAAAAACAACTCTACATTCTTCAAACAAGGTCTTGGCCTGAAAAAAACTCCCGAAGAAAATATAGCACAAGCATGTAAAATCCAATTTGTTGTTCCAAACAATTGCATATAGTCAATCTTAAATACTTACTGTAATTTAAACCAACCGGAGCTTTATGTTCTTTTAAGACAAGGTTAGCGCTCCAGTCTGAGCAGAACTTTATGTCAAAAAAAAATATCAAGTTCCGCCCTAAGTCCAACTTTATGTGGAAAAACGGATAAAGTTTCATTCCTACCGGAACTTTATTTCCGAAGAAAGGTTGAATCGCCGTCCTAGTAAACATTTACATAACTCCAACAAATAAATAACAGTTCCACTCTGAGCAGAACTTGATCTCTAAAGTATAATTAATTAAAAGTGCGCCAGGGCAGGAAGTTTAACTCCAAAAAAATCAGTTAAAATTCTGGTCCAACCTAAATTTTAACTATCACAAAAATCTGTTAAAGTGCCGGTTTTTCCGGAACTTTAAATCACCCAAAAACTCAATTTTCCGTTTTTTCCGGAACTTTAAATAAGAAAAAAGGTTTAAGTACCGCTTTTTCCGGACCTTTTGCTCCCCCCAAAAAAAGGTTCAGGTTTTTCCGGAACTTTAACTCCCAAAAAAGTTAAAGTTCCAGTTTTTCCGGAACTTTAACTCCCAAAAAAAGTTAAAGTTCCAGTTTTTCCGGAACTTTGACCCCCGAAAAAAATTGCAACTGGAACTTTATTTTTTGGGTGGAGTTAAAGTTCCGGAAAAACTGGAACTTTAACTTTTTTTGGGAGTTAAAGATCCGGAAAAACTGAACTTTAATTTTTTCGGGCGTTAAAGTTCCGGAAAAACTGGAACTTTAACTTTTTTTGGGAGTTAAAGTTCCGGAAAAATTGGAATTTTAACTTTTTTGGGAAGTTAAAGTTCCGGAAAAACCGGAACTTGTATTTTTTTTTCGGGAGTTAAAGTTCCGGAAAAACTGGAACTTTAACTTTTTTGGGAGTTAAAGTTCCGGAAAAAACTGGAACTTTAACTTTTTGATTGGGGTAAAATTTCCAGAAAAACTGGAACTCTAATTTTTTTTGGAATTAAAGTTCGGGAAAAACTGTAACTTTAACTTTTTTTGGGAATTAAAGTTCCGGAAAAACCGGAACTTGACCTTTTTTTTGGATCTTTAAGTATTTTTGGAGTTGCAGTTCCGCTTGGACTGGAAATTTAACTTGATTTTCTTCGGAGTTAAAGTTCCGGTCCGGTTGGATCGGAACCTTAGCTATTCTCTGAAGTTAAAGTTCCGGTTGGACTGGACCTTTATACCTATTGTTCCGAGTTATGTTTCGGGATTCACGTTCCGGTCCAACGGTTGGACCGGAACTGGAACTGGAGTTAAAGTTCGGGTTGGACTGAAACTTTATAAATATGTTTTGTGGATGTGTTTTTTGGAATTACAGTTCCGGTTGGACCGGACGGAGTCAAAATTTGGACGTGATTTTGAAGATTTTTGAAGCATGTTTTGAGATTATAAGGTTCTGGTAGGACCTGTTTTTTTTGTTTTCTTTAAGTCAAAGTGCAGCAGCGAGCGGAATCTTAACAATGTTTCGTTTCCTTATGACTATTTTTTGGAATTACTGTAAAGTTGTCAATCGAGTTTTTGAAAACGTGTTTTTGCACTTAAAGTTCCTCTCTGACAAAAACTTCATTTTGCTGGAAACACAGATTCGCTCGGGGCAGAACTTCAGTGTTGCTGTAGTTTTGGGCTCCGCAAAAAAAATGCGTTTTTTTTGAGCACCGAGTTCTGTGATCGTCCGCTTTGGGAAGGTACAACTCCAAATTAGGACAAAATGTTCCTTTTTGATCTCTTGGAGTGACAAGAGAACCACTTGAAAATCAGAGTGACGCTGTCGTGTTGCTTGAGGGATGCCTACCATGTTGTTAGCACCAGTGCACCCTGCAAACTTGTTTCTGGATGCTTAAAGCTCAATATTAATCCTTTCAATTGATGATATCGGGATCCAGGTATGCAACACCCTTTGCGCAGCTGCAAAACGATAAAACTCCCAGTGAACCTGAACTTGGGGCTAAAATACCTTAATTACGTAATTTAGCATATGTAATAATGTATATAATGTATGATGTATAATGTATAATGTATAATATGTAGTAAATAATATAATATTATGTAATACAATATTAATATAATATAATATAATATATAATATATAATATATAATATATAATATATAATATATATAACATATAATTATAATATGTCATATTTACTATATTATATATTGTATTTAATATGTAATATATAATGTATAATGTATATAATTTAATTGAATATATAATGTAATTTCATATAGTCTAGTATAAGATAACATAGTATAGTATATTATAATATAATTATAGAATAATATAATTGATAATATTTAGCATTTAATTGAATATTTAATATTTTATTTAATATAGTATAATATTCAATATAATAAAATATAATATACTATAATATAATTAATATAATATGTTTATAAAATAATATAATATCATATCATATCATATAATATCATATGCACATTAACAATCAGCAATACAGATGAACTCGGTGATCTCATTTGGATTTATTTGGGCCAACTCTGCGCCAACGTTTGACTGCATTGAAACATATTATTGAAACTCAAACTTGCCATTGTCAACATGTTTTTCTTGTACATGGGCTGGCACGAATGAATGCTAGATGGTAGCAGCACTTCGATCGACGCGTATCTAAGATGTCTTGCGCAGCGTGAGTCTTGAACCCATTAAAATATCATTACTGTAATTTCATTTGGCTATTCCTCATTCTATTGGAACCTGGAGTGGAACCTGGCTCTAAGTTGTCCATGTGTCCATTTTCAAAGCTTTGACTTTGGCCAAGGGCCGCTGCACTTTGTCGGTGGCTCCAAGCGCTATGACATGAAGACCTCCTTGAAGCATCGTTTGCTGACGAAGCAGGGCTGGGACGTGCACCACATCGCTTGGAACGTGGCTTGGCGGCCACAAGATATCGCAAGATGCCCAGTGGCTGACTGGTCTGACTGTGCTTAGGACTGGCCGGAACATCACCACAGTCGTTTGAACTACGTGGCAAGGTGTGGTGTGGTTTCCCAAGGTGATCCAAAGTTGCTGTCGTGACTGGAGGAACTGTTAGGCACGTCGTAGCAGGTGTAGTTTGTGTTGTCGCTAGGTTGTTGCGAAGCTCTGCACCTGGCAAGCATTTGATGGAGTACAACCCACTGGAGTCAGCGCCCGAGTCCAAGGAGTTCAATGAGTCGCGGTTTCAGGAAATTCGACAGCTTGATGCGCCGTGAATCCTTGAGATGGAGTGAAGAAGCCGAGAACGTACTGTATTACTATATTATGCCAATTTATGCCAATTTATGCCACATCTATGCAAGTCAAAGCCTGGAGGCGTGATTGACTTCGCATCTGGAAGTGGACCAACCAGCGGGTTGTCATGGGTTTGGAGCGCCCTGTGTTGTGATAGACTCTTCGCCACTGGTGAGAGGTGAAATGGCCCCCAAAGTATGCAGCAGGGATGCGGCAGAACTCCACAGCCTAAACAAAGTCAACGCTGGAGCAAGATTCCAAAGGCTTTGCATTTGTCGAGCTATGCGTTTTGGACAAGGAATGACAAGGATGTCGTCCAAATTCTACTATTCGCATCCATTCGCCCCACTTCGACATCACTTTGCAAGACGTGGTCAACTGAGCCCGGCAGCTGGAGCGAGAATACTCGCAGACTCGGGGGAACAAATGAGAAAGAGTGAGAAACAATGAAAAACATATGCCTGAAAGCACTGAACTTACCCGCAGAGCTGAGACGATAGCCATGGACGACACCTACTTGTACATGTTTCTTGCCAGTTCTTGCACTGTCTTGCCATTTTTTGCATGTGTTCTTTTCTTTGTTCTTGTAGATCATCGCTCTTTGCAGGAGTACCAGCTCACATTTCATACCATGAAGCGGAGGCACTTCAACCGAGTGCTGTTTTATCTTCACTCTGTCTGTTTCACTATAGTATTGACAATGACAAGCAGGTGCATCCGAATCCAGAAGAACATTGACAACGTTCTTACTCACTACTGTACACCTTTCAGGGTCAAGAGTACAGGCAATGTACTTTTCAGCTCTGTCATAGAAGCAAACTGGTGGACAGTCGATAATGGAAATATACAAGAATATACAAGAATATACAAGAATACACAAGAATATACTGTAAAGTTTAATGAGTTCTTCAAAATGACTGGTGACAGTGCTGACCATGAGGCGTCCTCTGTTTCATCCTGGATAAGGCAGGAGTAGAGTGTCCAAGGACGTTGCAGTTCTCTGAGACCTGTGAGACCTGTGAGCTGAGAGTACGGCCTCGCTGTCAGGTCAAGTATGAGGAGCTCTTCGCCTGTGCGGCCTCCCAGATATGAACCAGAGACCAGTTCAGACAAGAGATGATAGACATCTCCTTTCTTTTTATAAGATCTGTATCAACATCTCCTTTCTAATAGATGTTGAAGTGTTGACCAGGTACAACGTGTTGATACAGACGACGCCTGAACACCTGGTACAACGACGGTACATCTGGTACTCTTCTTCAATCGGTCAATCGTGTTCGTTCATCGTCAACATCTGGTACACATGTTGATCGTCAAGTCCACTCCTGGTCTGTTCACGTTGACCAGATGTTGACCAGATGTTGATCAGATGTTGACACTTGAATACACTTGACCTGCAGTGGAGTCCACTGCGTCCTGAGGTGACAGATAGTCCAGTCAGTCCAGGTGCTTTGCTTAGCCCCTGCCTGCCCTGCCTGTGGATGCAGAGAGATCTGTAAAACTGTGAGGCCAGGAGCTTGTTGACGCCAGAGCCTCAGCTCACATTTCTATCAGCAACAGGTTCTGTCTACATTCTACATATCAAAGTAGGAGAAACAATACTGTCACATGATACATTTAAAAGAAGAAAAGAATTGCGTAAGCAATGTGCATCAATGTGCTCTTTCTCATTCTGCAATCTTTCATTCAGCAGTTAGAATCATTGGAGTTTCTGTGGTTGCCAATTTATCAACTCGTTCCGTGAAGGCATTTGCGAGTCCAAGAGACTTCGATTGTCATTCACAGGCGAAGATCCTGGAATAGACTAACTCCAACAATTCCGATGCACTTTGATCCCGCCTGCGAATTGCAGCCTTTGATCATGCCAACAATACAGAAACCAGCAGAAACCAACAATCCTGAGATCTTCACTGCCGACATCTGTCAACGCTTCTGCAAATATGTGACATGTGGCAGGTAGCGGCTTTGCGTGCCTGTGAGCTGAAAGCGCAGAGGAGGTTTTGCAAGGGCAGAAATCGACCCGGGAGTTGGAGCATTGAGATTCTGGATGCAAGGAGTACAGCCAAGACATACGGCAATCCGTGCTCTGAAATACTATGTCTTGATATTGCTTAATATTTCTTCCAAGTATTCAACTCTGCCTCGGTTTCGCATCAAGCTCTAAAACCTTCTGCAACGAAGTGCCACATTCCATGCACGTCTCAACAGTAGAAGCCATTCGATTTGGATATTTGGGGCATTTGCATGCATTTGCCACAACTGCAATGTAGGCCTTCGCCTTTGTCGTCTCATAACCAGCAGGCAAGGTCTGAAATTGTCTTTGAGACCGGTGATCTTTTGCCTGCACATTGGTTCAAGGAAAATCAGTAGCATTGGAGTTGAATTCTATTACATTTATAAGCTTACTTGCTCAGCTGTGTTTATTTGCCACGTGACCAAGCGCTATCGTCATGTTATGAGTGGTTCGGCGTGCCATTCACCAGACCCTTGTAGGCAACGGCGGTCACCATTAATGGAGATTCTGCACTTGCTATCTCTGCCATGTGCTTATTTTGCTGTGTCCACGTGAATGTGACAAAAATGCCACGCCTACAAGATGCTACAAAAATGCTAAGGCTGATCACGGCGACAAAACGGAAAGAAACCTGCGGCCTCATTTGCTACTTGTTTGCAAATGTCCCTGAATGAGAACCAAGTTGGAAGCCCTAAGTTGTTGTGCATTTGCCGTGATGAGTCATGGATGGCAGGTACCAAAACTATCCTACTCGAGGTATTTATACATGAGTTGACCGCAGGTATGTCTCACTTGGCAGTCTGGATGCTGATAAACTCAAGATGAACGCAATATATTTGTGCATGCGCTGTCTGGAAATGATTAAGACTCTCGGTTTAATTTTGTTATATGATGTTAAATATTAACGAAAGAAGTTGGCTCTTTATTGACCAAGCCAAAGCCTGAGTGGATTTGTTTGTCATCAACCAGACTTTGTGCAAACAACTTGGCAAGCATTTGCTAGAATCTGCAGACCTGTGCGAAACTGCATGGTCGCTGCCAACGTTTCTGACTTCGGACAAATTTTCCGGAGAAAAACAGTTGGCAGCAACATAAAACCACGGAGCACCATCTGTACTGGAGCACTGATTCCTCGAACGTCAACGTTGAAGTAACCTCGGGCTATGGTCAAGAGACCGCAAGACCAATCAAAATCCCCGATTTTCCGTGCTGTGCTTTTTGCTCAATGTGCTTAGAACTTCGAGGGCCTTTCAAACCACAAACCATTGATTTTTTTGCGCTGATCAGAATTCTACAGATGGATATGTCATGTGAAGGAAATTCCTTGACGAAACTTACATTTGAATATATTTGAATGATTTTAGACGTCTTGCAATGAGCTTCAGTTAGCTTGAGCATGGGGTAATTCTCATTGATTTCCATTGGTTGCCACTTTAGATGTCCAATCCATATCATGCAAAAACGTCCAGAGTATAGAGGAAGAACACTCATCTGCATGTACGGAGCTTGTTCCCACAGGCCGATTGCTTGCAGAAGCATTTGGTGACATGAAAAGCGCTTGTGCCATCATGATGCGATCATGATAGTATGTTTGGCACTGGAAGTTCTGCGGCCTTTTCAGAGTTCTCAAGTTTGTGCGTTCACGTCTCAATACGATGAGTGCTTCAACAGTTTATGACGACGTAGTTTCGAATGTTTATGAGGAAGACTTGGAGTTGGAAGGAGACAAAGAAGATCCTCCGACCGAATTGCAAGAGGGCGAGCCCTCTAGTGGAGCTGACAGGCAGATCAGGCAGCATGGTGAATGCCAAGCTTCTGCCACTCCCAAGAATCTATCATCGACACCCATTGTGAAGCATCGTGCGCGGCCTCGAAAAAGGCAGCCAGACGAGAAGGATAGATCAACAGAGGAAAGACTGATTTCATTACGACGCCAAATTGAATACTACTTTAGCGATGAGAATCTCAGCAGTGACACTTTCTTTCACGAAAAGATCTCTAGCAATCCAGAAGGTTGGCTTGATGCATCCTGGATCTTAGGCTGCAACCGAGTAAAAAAAATGCAGGTGAACAGCGATGTAGAGATCGAATCTGCTTTGGTGGATTCCGATCTCGAAATTCAATGGCTTTTTGGTGAGGCCAGCAATGGAGAGAGCCACAAATCCCTCCAAGTGCGCCGCAAATTGGGCCGCGCATTGCCCATTTTGGGCACCGACTCGGCCAAGGCTCCACCCGGTTGGTTGGCCAAGCAGGTGCAACAACGAAGCACCCAGCGGACCCAGCAAGAGGCGGTGGCTTCGGAGGTGTCGGAGCCAAAGGAGATCGAAATACCGGAGGTGGGTGAAACTGTTCGGCTGATGTCAGGTGAACATGCAGGAGAATCTGGGCAAGTCATGGCTGTGGATGGAGAAGAACTCACCCTATTAGTTGGTGGTGCAGATGTGGTCATTGCATCCGCTTCTGAAGTTAAGAAGGACAAGTAGCACGAAGTAGCTGTACCGTGTTTTTTGGCTGCTTGGACCACGTTCGGCCTCGATACCTGCACGGTTTGAAGTCGACCTGAAGTTCACAGATGATAGCTCCCTGATGAGCTCGGCGGTCGGAGCAGAGATCAAGCATGAGGCATGGCACCGGCTGCCAACGTGTGACGTCATCCATCGTCATCCAATCGGCTGAGGGTTGAAGAATGACCCTGGTGGACCTGTGGACTTGATGGACATCCGGTGCGACAACTGATACAAGCTGCCAGGGAAAAGGTGTTGCGTCATGTTTGTTTTTTGTTGGTCTTTGACTTCGACAGCCACTTTCAATCATTCTGCAGCTGTTTGCAGACCTTCACAGTCACACTATTTGTTTACATTTTTTTTCATTTTCTTACATGTTTTTTTCAAAAATGCAATGGACAATATTGAACGCCCCCCCTGCGTTTTTTTAAGAAAATAAATGAAATCCCGTAAAAAGTGAGGGGACCTACTAAAATGAAATCTTGCAAATAAGACGTAGTTAAAAAAATAAATGCTTGCCAAAATTTAACAGGACCGCCTCCCTCAAAAACGTCTAAATTGTGTCTTGCAATTTGGGTACGCCCCCCCTCCTTAAAAGGGTAGTGATGTTATAACATGTTATAACCTTGACTAGTCTGCCTATGGATAGCGCCATCGTGGTTCTATTTTGGGCGGGGGGAAACCAGAAGATGCAGGTTAGATTGTAGATTTACCATGATTTACCAATGAAGTGCCCTTGCAGAAATTGTTTGGCGCAGGGATCAGCTTCTCTTGGAGACGTCCAAGAGTGGAGAGCAGCGGCTTGGTTTCATTTCCAATGGAGCGATTGAACATGTATGTTGATGATGATTATGAGTTTAAATATGTTTGATATATTTCGTATCAATGAATATTGCTATTGGTTTGAAATGATTTGGATATATCTGGATTGCGTTGGTGCACAGGGAGTGTCCTGTTTTGCAGCACCCAAGGTTTTGGAAGTTGGGCACAGATGCGGTGGTGCTGTCCAGGCGCCATCTTCATCGCTTGAAGTCTTGGCTGCTGCCTCTGACATGAAGCCGAGGCCACCATGGGCAGCAACAGCGACGGAATTTCAGGACAAGGCCACAATTGTGAGGCAGGAAACCAACAACAACATGTCGTCAGCAAAGAAATGCCTTGATGTCTTGTAGCTGCATTGTTTCCTGACTTGTGTGCAATTTTGTTCCTCGTCATTGTTTGGTGTGCATGTTTATCAATGTTTATTTTCTTCCATTATCCGGAAATCATCCGACAACTCTGAGTGCCAAGACGGGCGAGGTTTCTCTGCAGTCCGGGCGAGTGCGGCCAGCTTTTGATCATGGCCGAGGTTGGATACGGTGCAGCAACGAATCAAACCGATGCACCACTGCAACATCTGCAACCGTTTCATTCAAGTGGCATTCAAGGCTGCCGGATTTCTGAAAGCTCCAAGTGGATTGGAGCGTGAGGTGCTCGGACAGAAAAGCATCAACGAAGTTAGTTGGCTACTTGATGCTAGCTGTTGAGTGATATATGGTAGCCTGCAACTGTTCACTGTCATGTGAAAGTCCGATAAACTTCGGTCAGTTGTTTTCTGTTGTCACTGTGGCAGCGAAAATTTTCAATGAATTCTATCTTCTCACTCCATTTGCGCAAAAACTGTTTTTGTTCTTTCACCACGGCTGCATCCCAGACCTTCTTTTACAGTTCAGGTTCCACTTTGATTGCCAGTTCCAAGCTTCAGGAGCAATTTCTTGGGAGGCTGAGGCCTGGGTAAGCTGGAAACAGATGGAATGGAGGGTTTGGTCATGTCGCTGCTGTTAAGCGGTTAAGTTCCATGGTCCAAGTCTTGAGCCAGCATTGCAGGCCTTGGCTGTCAAAGGAAGTGTCTTGGCTGAGTCAACATTGCAGTCGAGACTTGAAAGGTCACCTGGTCTCATGTCTACTTCATCCAACCTACATGTTGGATCATGTTGGATCATGTTGGTATTTGGGAACTCCTGTTTCACCTTGTATTCATCTTGTGTCATTGATCCTTTTTTCTATCCCTATGTCCCCCAGGAAAACGTGGATGAGGCCGATCAGGCCTTGTATGCGGTGCGCCCAGCTGATTTTCTCTAGCAGCGCTATACAGTGCCTGTTGGGATCTCGTGGGCCATCGGCATGAGCCAATGAGTCACAAACTGAGGACCAATTGGAATTCTTGCGGCTGCAGCATCGAGCTTAGCGAAAGGCAGTTTAAAAGCGTTGTTGATTGTTGATGTCCTGCATTTACAGCTAGCTGGGGTGTCAAGGTGAAGTCATAAAGAACATCTGGATCACTAAAATCTGATGTCCTCCTGCGAAAAGGCCAGGAAGCCGCGCGTGCATCTCCGCTGAAAGCAAACAAGAACAGACACAGCTGGCTGCGACCTTGACCCGGGGCCACAGCCGATGTTTTTGTCGTTCGGCAGTGTGGGGCTGTTCGTTAGCTGGAGGTCTTACTTCCACTAAACCGTGCTGGAGCAGAACTGCACTTTGTTCGAAGCGAGGTGCCTGGTCACTTCAGTAGACCCAGAATTCCGTTCTGCAGACAGTTAGAGTCACAGACCCAAACGAAAGAAGGAAAGAAAATAAGGCTGTCGGAAAGCATCGCAAAGCCCGTCACTGCTTCTCTTTTAAAAACATGGCTAAAGCGGGAGGCGTGCATGCCTTTGGCGAATGAACAGGGTGCTGCCATTCTGCTTGCACATCCAAGCGAGCACTTGGAGGTCCGGTCTGATTGAATCTGATTCACAAGATGATACTGCAGATACCGAATCCAAATGTATCGAAGTGTGCGAAGCGAATGCAATGCGCTGACAAGGTCTCTGGGGCCTCACAGGGCGTTCTGCACCTTCTTTGTCTTACACTCTCCAGGGCGCAGGAGAGGGGCCAAGGGCCACGGGCGAGGAGTGTATGATATTAAGATAAGTACATAATGTACTTGTAAATATGTATAACATTGCATAACAATTTTAAGGATAATGATAGTAATATTAGATTCATGACAATAACTAGCAATAACATTATAATATATAATTATTATTAATTATTATTATTACTATTTTTTCCCGAATGCGTAGCAAGGGTTCCCGTTTCACTCTGGGGGTCTGGGGGTTGAGGGTGTGTTCGCTCGACGTTGCGTTCGCGAGCGCAACCGTCCGCAACCGTTCGCAACCGTTCGCGCGATCCCCGTATGGCCGTGCCTATGGGAAGTTCTGCAGAGGTGGTCATTTTTGGAGGTTTCAGACGTGTCGTTGCTTCGTTTCGCGTGGCAGGCGTAGCACTTCGTGACATTCAGACGTGTTCTGCAACGTGTCGAAAGTCGTTTTGCGTGGCAGGCGCAATACTTTTGCGACGTTTTCAGAAGATGTGTTGCAGTTTTCGTGGCAGGCGCAGCACTTTGGGCGTGTCCATCGTCATTTTCCGTGGCAGGCGCAGCACTTTAGACGTGTCGCGTTGCGTGTTTTTTGCAAATCGCATTGGCAGGGCTGCGTCAAGTGGCGACAAGGTGCAAATTCCGTGGCAGGCGTGGCATTTTGTGACATGTGCTGAAAATGGACGGAAGCCTCGCACGAAACATCGATTTTGATGTTGCCAATTTTCGGGTTCTAAGGAAAACTCGTAGGAAAACGTCGATTTTGAAGCTGCAAAGTGTGTGAAAATTGGAGGAAGTCTCGTATGAAATGCTCGTTTTGGTGCTCAAGACGTGTCTCGTCTCGAGTCTCTGGTTTTCCCGTGGCTTCGCCGTGTCTATGGGGGAAGCTGCAAAACCTGTCCTTTTGTTATGTTGCCAATTGTGAAAATCGCCGGAGGTCTCGTACGAAATGATCGTTTTGGTGCTCCCACGTGTCTCGTCTCGAGTCTCTGGTTTTCCTGTGGGTTCGGCGTGTCTATGGGGGAAGCCGCAAAACCTCTCCTTTTCGAAGGTTTCCAAGGAAGTTGTCATGTCGTTTTGCGTGGCAGGCGTGGCACTTTGTGACATTCCAACTTGTTTGATGATGTGTCAAACATGTCAAAATTGGCGGAGGTCTCGTACGAAATGGTGGTTTTTCTGCATCCACGTGTCTTGTCTCGAGTCGCTGGTTTTCCTGTGGCGTCGCCGTCTCTATGGGGGAAGCTGGAAAACATGTCCTTTTCGAATGTTTCCAAGCAGGTTGTCCTGTCGTTTTGCGTGGCAGGCGTGGCACTTTGTGACATTCCAACCTGTTTGATAACGTGTGGAAAATATCAATATTGGAGAAAGTCTCGCACGAAATGCTCGTTTTTTTGCACCCACGTGTCTTATCTCGAGTCGCTGGTTTTCCAGTGGCGTCGCCGTGTCTATGGGGGAAGCTCTGCACTCCACACTCTACACTTTACACTCCACACTCCACAATTTACACTTTAGACTCCACACTCTACACTTTGCACTCCACGCTTTACACTTTGCACTTTACACTCCACACTTTACACCACACTCTACACTTTCCACTCCTCACTCCTCACTCTACACTTTACACTCCACACTCCACACTCTACACTTTACACTCCACACTCCACACTTTACACACTCCTTACTTTACACTCCAGACTTCACACTCCACACTTTCCACTCCACACTTTACACTCCACACTCCACACTTTACGCTCCTCACTCCACACTTTACAATCGTCACTTTACACTCTACACTCCACACTCTACATTTTACACTCTACACTTTACACTCTACAGTCCACACTCCACACTCTACACTTTACACTCTACACTCCACACTTTACACTCCACACTTTACACTCCACACTCTACACTTTACACTCCATACTCCACAGTCTACACTTTACACTCCGCATTCTACACTTTACACACTCTACACTCCACACTTTACACTCCACACTCTACACTCCACACTCCCCACTTTACACTCCACACATCTCCACACTCTACACTTTCCACTCCACAGTCCGCACTCCACACTCCACACTTTACTGTACACTCCACACTCCACACTTTATACTTTACACTCCTCACTCCACACTTTACACTCCACACTCCACAATCCACACTCTACACACCACACTCTACACTTTCCACTCCAGACTCCACACTTTACACTTTACGCTCCACACTCCACACTTTACACTTCACACTTTACACTCCACACTCCACACTCCACACTTTACACTCCTCACTCCACACTTTACACTCCACGCTCCACACTTTACACTCCTCACTCCTCACTCCACACTTTACACTCCTCACTCCACACTCCACACTTTACACTCCACACTTCACACTCCACACTTTCCACTCCACACTCCACACTTTACACTCCACACTCCACACTTTACACTCCTCATTCCACACTTTACACTCCACACTTTACACTCCACACTCTACACTTTACACTCCACACTTTACACCCCACACTCCACACTCTACACTTTGCACTCTACACTATACACTCTACACTCCACACTTTACACTTTACACTCCACGCTTTCCACTTTACTCTCCTCACTCCACACTTTACACTCCACACTTTGCACTCCACACTCCACACTCTACAGTTTACACTCCATACTCCACACTCTACACTTTACACTCCGCATTCTACACTTTACACACTCTACACTCCCCACTCCACACTTTACACTCCACACTCCTTACTTCAGACTCCACACTCCACACTCTACACTTTCCACTCCACACTGCAGACTGGTAACAAGGGAAACATGTACAAGACTGTTCAAATAGACTATTGCAGAAAGGTATTGTGCGTGACTGCATAACCATGTGTTTTGACCTCTGTACCATTAACATACGTGTGAGCATTCGGGTTCGTGGGCTTCATCTTGTTATTATAGTATATTATAGTAATGATAATAAAATATGTATTTATTATAACAATTTAATAATAATATAATAGTAATTGATATTGTATAAATAATGTGTATACGACACAATTGCTTCAATCAAACAACCGCCGTGCTCGTGTTTCAAATCCCTTTGTTTCACAATCTTACGTGTCATACAGCATCGCCACTCATGTTTCACTTGAGTTCTTTGTTGAAAACCAACACCTTGATTCGGAATGGGGAAGGTTTGGTGCCGGGACTCCAGTTCCGAAGGTTTGGTGAAAAAAAGAACATGTTTGTAGTGATTGACAAAATTGACCATTGGTGTTGCACATTGCCCGTGTTTGCATTCATGTTTTGAAGGAGCCAAAGCATGCTCCCACCAATGCCTTTCAAATTGATGGCCAGAAGCCAAGGTCATGCACAGCATGCTATGTGGCCGCACGTTGTCACACTTTTTTGTACTTGTGCTTCACTCTGGCCTTGGGCAGTTTTGTTCAATTCCGAATGTCGCTTTGAGGCTTGAGCGAGAAGACCAAAACACGGAATCTCAGAGGTGTTTGTTTTCTGCCTTTGCCAGCAATTGAAGGTATTGTTTTTCGATGTTTTTAGATTACTGCCATTCTTTCGTAGCAGGTCCCTCCGCGGGTTGTCCAGCTCCAACTTTTGAGAACCCAGGTGGGGGGTGCGGAGAGGGAAATGACAGCTGCAAGAATTCTGAACCAGTTGGCATATGATGCATTGAAACAGATGGAAACGAACCTTCAAAGAGTCCAAAGATGGTTGAGGTATTAGTTCTGCTGGTTTTTTCGTCGAAAGCATCTGCAGCTTCACTGAAGCGACAGACTTTCCAATAGGCAGTGACTTTCACATGGCTCCACCTGCGTCACTGCCTGAGACAAATCATTTGCAAAGATGGTGCTGTAGAGGGCTTTGAAAGATCCTTGCAGGACCTGGTTCACAGGCTTCCAGTGTGCCCTGTCTCTGCTTCAGGTTGGTGCCACCGCCTCCCGCAGTGGCGGTCGACCCACCACCAATGGATGTGTGGCCAGAAGACCCTGTTTGCCAGCTGGCAGGGTGCCTCAAAGGGGTGGGTTGATCGGTTGATCATTAAAATTGAAACTGAGGGAAGTCAGTCGGCTCCTTGCCTCAGGAAATTGGGGAAACGGTGGAGGCTTTCTGGGAACCAGACAAACAGTGCGATGCTCAAGCAGATCGTGTAGTGGGATTGTGTCTTACTTGAAAGCGACATTCGTTTAGATCTAGAGTGCTCATTGTTGACTGAAAAGTCAACAGACTAGCCACAACGGATCTTAGGTATTTTGCTGGCAGAGTTGGGCACTTTGAGCATCTTTGAGACCTTGAGCCACATTTGATCTTCATTTCTCACATGTTCCAAAATGAACTAACTCTTGGAGCGGCAGTAGCCACACCCATTCTGAGATGTTTGCCCATGTTTCAGCTATGTTTCAGCTATGTGCCTGTTTTTTGATGTTTTTTGCAAAGGTCGCGAATCTGCACGATGACGGGGCGGTTTCCGTGGCTTGGCGGGTTGACTTCTCAGCTCACTCAGTTGTTCTAATAAATATGGTAACAATATGATACAATATGTAACAAGTACATAGAATTGAATGTGATTGACATCCTCACTCCCGGGAAACGTCATGATTCGTTTCTGCTTGACGTGAAACAAGGAAAGCGATGAGTCGCAAGAACTTTTTTGCTCAGTGCAGCCGCTTAGGACTGGGACGGTGTGGCACAACTTCCCAACTTCTTGGTTCGTCCAAGGACAGCCGTGTTTTGAAACTCGCTGCGATCATGATGGCTGTTGTTCAGGTATGTTCAGGTTATTCGATTGTTGAAGCATTGAAGGACGATGCACTGGGACAGTGCTGATTGACAGTCGGTTGGCAGAACGTCCTGGATGCCTTCCACCTGCAACCAGCAACGACCCAAGGGATGGTCAAGAAGTGCCTTGCACGGAGCGCAGTGTCACAACTACTTCTTGGGGGATCTAGTTCTCGGCATGGTTCACAAAGGGGAAACATCAGTGTTGCTCGCGCGGTTGTGGATTAGTGTACTCAGTTGGAAACATGCAAAACCACGAAGCGAATTGTGTTGGCGAAAAGAAGAGGGTAAGGTAAGGTCAAGAGGAAACAGCAAAAAGGTTCCTCAGGCCAGCAGGGCTGTTTAAGTCTTTGGACGGAAACCTTTCATCGTCTGAGGATATTTTGAGAAGATTCTGATTCAAGGAGCATTTCTCTGCAGCCGATGCTGGTAGGAAGCTGGCTGAAGCTGAAGCAGACCAGCTCGAGAAACAGTTGCAGGAGCAAAAGCAAGAAGTCGCTGTCCGGACACGAGCCACGGGAGATCGCAAAGGTTTAAACAATCTCATCAGCAAGCAGCTCGCAATGAACCATCCAGACTTGCCGTGGTAAAGACTGCAAGCGCAAGTTAAGGTGCAGTACTTGAAAGCAGCAGAGAGCAGACAACCTCCAAATGTAATGACAACTTTTCGGGCTGGTGACAGAGTTTGGCATTCAAGCGACCCTTGCGCATACCGTCGGTGTCTGACAACTCCCATGATGAATGTGACGGCTGCAAGAATCAGTTGCAGCTGCAGGCATCCACTCGGTTATCTTAGATGGCAGCCCGATCCTGGGATTGCAGAGTCCCTCTTGGCCAAGAGCAAAAGAAGCCTTGGAGGACGGCGAAGCGACCTTCGTCCCCCACTTGGGTCAGAATGCGAGGGATGAGGTGGGGGAGGACAAAGCGTTGAAGAAAAGATTGCAAGCACTCGGGGAAGTCAGAGGCTTGGCCAAGGGGCCATGCATGTTTTTCGTCTCCAAGGATTGCAAGCTTTCGGTATGACAACCAACAAAAGGGCTACGAGAGGGCGGCATATTTGGCACTGGCTGTGACTGTGACAACAGTCCTAAGCGGGTGGGAGCCTAGAGGCACAGACATCTGCAATCTGAAGCCGCAGGTCGAGAGAGCGATGTCGCGTGGCATTGGAGCGAGGGAGAATGCTCGAATAAAGAGTGAGTTGATGGAGATCCGGCATGAATCCCAGGGCGTGATTTGCCCGGAAGCGAAGAAATCTGAAGCATTCGTTCCCTGTGGGCATTTGCGTGTGAAAATCATATTGTGATTGCCTGGTGCAAAAAGCAAGGCCAGTTGTGCAATGCGCCCGACTTGCCGCCGAGACGTTCGATCTACAATGCGAGTTTATCTTGGGTCTGAAGCCATTGCGTGAGACTCATGAGATGGGAACTGGGAAAAAAGATAGCCAGCTCGAGCAGTACTTTTGGTGACATGGGAGAGATTTTCCGCTCCAGTGCCTGAGCGTTGAGAACATCTGTGGTTGAGCTTCCGTTGCCGAACTGTTCAGAATTGTGGAGTTCGAGCAAAGTCGCCTGGTCACTCTTGAAGAAATGGGAGCCGACCGGCTATGTTGATGTTTTTACCAAGCTCAGGGCACTGGAACAAAGAGGACTTTGAGAAGGTCTTGGATCTCTTAGTGTGTGACCTAGGTGCCTTAGCCAAGCTCTTCCAGCTGCGTACACCGGTAGCCATGAAACATGCACGCCCATCCAGTCGCACGGTGCACCGGTAGCCTGTTGGAGCCGGACAAGGCTGTCCTGATGACACCGGAAGTGACTGCCACAACCTCCACTACAGCACTACAGCACTACAGTACAGCACTGTAGCCTGCCTGGGGAGCACATCTCCCGTCTTTATGGCACCTTCGACCAGTGGACCCACGTGTCATGCAACTTCAACTTCGAGACGAAAATGAGAGAGTCCGTCACGACTTCGCTGAGACATCCACAAATTCGAAATGATGGAGCACGATGTCATAGCAGGGCAGTTGTTCTGCACGTCTTTGCGGAAGCCTTGTCAAAGGCAGGACCGCAGGAGTGGCTTGATGCATCTTGATGCTATTTGATGCTTACAAAATCTTACAAAGGTACGGAACGGTCGTAGGATGCCAGGAGTGGTTCAGTCGTTCAGCTGCCTGACTCACAACAGCTGAGCTCTCCTGGGATTTCACCAAGGAAGCCTAAGGATCCTAAGGGGGCAAAAGAAGTGCTGACTGATCTGACTGAATGGTGCTTTGGCACTTGTAATCCCTTGTAGCTTTGTGAGGTGATTGCACAGCTTTTTGTCCGTCTATGTCGAATCCAGATCTGTCTTGAAGTAGACGCTCATTCTGCACTGCGAGATTGACATAGATATTATATATACATATATATATATACAATATATTAATATATATGGTGTATATATATATATTGTATATATACATAGATTAATTTTGTAGCAGTTCTTGAAGCAGCTGTGTACTGGGTCAAGCCCAGTTTTGAGCCCCCGGCGGTTGGCTGCCTGCACTGCAAGGCCACTGCATTGCTACTCCCAATAACGGCATTAGTCGGTAATTGAAACAAAACCAAGCCTTTCAGTTTAGTGAGGCATTGAGGTGCATATATGAGAAAGGAAAGCCGCTGATGCCGCTGGTTTTGTCTCGCAGAGCAGCTGCATTGAAAGCAAAACTGGGATGAAGATGGATGAAGTACATGTCTTGCACCGAAAGCGTGATGTCGTAACCGCAAACTACAAACCATGCAGAAATAACCTTTGAAATTGGCAAAATGGTATTGTAGGCGAGCAGGAGTGGTTGCAGCCTTGCCCATCTGTGAAAAATATATCCTGTGACGCACCGCCGCATAGAAGATCAATCATCAATGATGTTTGTGCTCCGTTTGAAAGAAACAGATTCAGATTATTATAATTATAAGAGGCAGTGAGCAGTGTTCAAAAGCGCTGTTGGTTGATGATTAAAGTAGTGGGGACTATACTATCCAATCTGTCAAATGTTTTGAGGATTATCATCCATCAACATCTATGAACTGGGAACCCATCGAGTACCTGTTAGGATCTTGATACTTGGCTGGTGCATTTGCCAGGCAGCTACCATGCCGGAGGAGGATGAGGAGTTGCAGGATCGGCAAATCTGTGGGGGAATTTGATCAGCCTCAACACCTCTTTTGGTTGTTTCAATATGTGGGAGATTGTTTTCGAATGTATAGTATACATGATTTTGTGATATTTTTATACACGTAGTATAGATTAGTACAGAGTATATTTCGACATTCACACCTCTATATATTCCTGATATGCCATCCATATACCATCCATTGCTTATTTTGATATACTTTGACAACCGGACTCAACGCAAGCGCAGGCCACCATGGCAGCTGTGAAGCGGCACTTTGACGCAGAGGAATTCGAGGAAGCCTTGCCGCTGGTGACCGAGGCTGGAGTGAGGTTGGTCTGAAAATGATGGGGAAAATATGGGAAAAATATGGGAAAATGATGCTCAACCTGTGGAATGAGGGGTGCACTATTCTTGGACACACCTGGAGGATTCACGAAATGATTCCCTCACATTTTCGGAGATGATTTGACTGACCATGTCGGTCTCTAGGGTTTCTGTCGATGTTTTCTGTCGATTTTCAGGCTTATAAAGCAAAACCAGGAAATCCACTGGTGGTCAGGACAGCTGGAAGCATTTTTATAGTGATGTTGAGTGCTTGAACTTCCATGGATTTCCCTTCTAGGAGCTACATCTTCACGCTTGTCAATGTCTCGCAGTGGGAGAATGTCTTGAAGGTTCGCCTAAACTTCAACCTGGCTCTTCCCAGACAGGTTCATAAGGATACTGGATGATACTGGTTTTGTCGTGCTTTGTTTGTTTATTTTGTTTGCTGCACAGTGAAGATTTCCCGCACTGGCTCCATGCGCGAGGCTTGCAAAAAGCATGAAGACCTCGAGGCCGCGCCTTGTAGCTGTCAGAAAAGGAAGTAACGAAACAATACGAAACATGACAAAAAGTTTGATACATCAGGATATGGACTTCGAGCATGCCTATAGTCTGTCAGGTCCTTAGCTCCTACAGGTGTTGTTTATCAATGTTTATCAACATGTGCACTGATGTCCACTCTGAATCCACCCTCTTTCGTGCTGAGGTATCGGCTGAACCGCTTCAAGGAAGCATTGGAGATTTTGGGCTCCAGGACCGGCCTAAACAAGCTGTGGCGTTGGGAGTCCAATGTAGCAGTTGGTGGCTGTCAACACCTGTCAAAAAGTTCCCTCGGATCCTTGAGAAATCACGATGTCGAGAGTTTGAGTGTTTTCATATCAGCTACAAGTTGAATATGTTTTGAATATGTTTTGAGTCTTTTGTGTTCCTTTTCGCCAAGAAAAGACCTCCAGGAAGAGCAAAGATCCAGAGGAAGTCGCTCGCAGAACGCGACTGGAAGCTCAGGCTGGGAAGCTGTTCCTCCAGAATGTGCTGTGAAAAAAAAATGCATAAAAGATGCTTTAAAGATGTGTGGTACTGGTATTCTTTATGATAATTCATGGTTATGATGTTGGTTTTTTTCTACAAGTACGGCAAGTGCATGTCAGCTTTGAGTTTCACATTGCTCTGAGCATGTTCTGAGCATGTTTTGCAGATTCAATACAGACTAGCAAGCTACGACTCTTGTCAGTAGCTTAGCTTCTTTGAACTGGAACAATCGTTTCGGGAGTCAGCTTGCTCATTTGTTCTATCTTTCTCTTAAGGTGCAGACATGTACGGTCGGCTCCACAAGGAAGATCCTGAGGACATCCTAAAGTGTTGACAGGTCCATGTTGACTGTCAGACACTGTCAGCACCGAAGAAAGCTTTCATGACCCGTGAGGACAATGGTCTGCTTGTAAACGCAGTAGCTGCTCATGTTGCGGGTGAGCAATCGCGGAAGGCGCTCTTTTTGATCCTGAAAGTGTTGTATTTGAAAGATTTTGAAAGGTCAATGCCAAGAGACACCCAATTTTAGACTAAAGTGTGGCAAAGCGTGGCAGCAATTCTTGGGCAGGCTATGGCCATTGTGTCTAGAAACCAGGCGACGACAATCAGCTTCATCAGTTCTCAGTTTCATATGATGTGGAGGTTGTTTGGAGGTTGCTTTGTGCAATTTAGATCCATGTTCAGGAAAATATATCGAAATCTGAAATCTTGGCAAAGCACTTAAAATATCTGATCAGTTTTTAAGATGGTAACTAAAGCATATCAAACATACTACAACCATAACTTACAGATGTTTCAATCCCAGGTTTGTGCCCAGCGCAGGAAGCCTTGGAGTCCTCCTATGAGTTGTGCTTCAATGCTGCGTGTGCTTTGATCGATGAGGGCCGGCTGAAAGAGGCTGAGGCCAATCCAGCGCACTGGGCACGGCTGAGTTGGACCAGTTGGGGCTACCCCAAAATGGCTGTTGAGAATGGCAAAAAATGCATGAACATGATGATGAAGCATGAGATTTTTTGAGGTTTCCAGTTGTCCCCAAGATTTTCCATAACTTTCCAGCCATTTTGGGCGCTGCTCGCGCCCCACAAGTTGTGACATCGGTCTTTTCTGACGGCAAGGCTCAATTGGCTCGAGCCAAGCAGCTCTGCACTGAAGAGTTGGTCCAGGTCGGAGAAGCACCGAGTTTTTGGGCAGATAGGCCCTCAAAAGGGAAAAGCAACTACAGTAACTACACCTTTACTACACCTTTACACTTTCAGTAGATTTTGGACAAGTTAATGGGTTGTTCAACTGTTTTTGTTGCTTTGTTCAGGCTTTGAGCATTCCGTTTCTGGTGTTGAAACATCTCCCGGGCGGCAACTTGAAGCGTGTGACGGCAGGCCGAAGATGCAGCAGAAGCAGATGCCAGTTTGTTGGAGGTTCTCTTTCTGGTGGAAGCATCAGTGATATACCAAGAATGACTAGTGGACGACGGAGATTTCTGCGGATGAGGAACTGTAACTTGCCTTTCTCCAGGACCACGAGGAGCTGGCTGCCATCAATGTGCAGCAAGCGCTAGGGTCTCAATCTTATATGATTTAAATATATGAGCATAATTTATGTATACTGTAATCATCTGTAATCATGTTTATATATATATATATATACACAATGATTATTTGTAGCATATGATGCATCTTTGCGCCTTTTGTATCCCTTTGTGCATATTCATGTCGCTCCAAGACGAACACCGCCCGCGCCATGTTGTTTATTATTGCCCCAATCTAGCAACATGTGTTTATAATGTTTGGAGGCGTTTAACTTCAATCCAACTGCACAAACCAATGTTCCAGAAAGCAAACCAGATCCCCCAAATTTGTTTGTTGCCGTCCCTTGCACGTGAGAAAACCGCTAAAATTACTAAAACTGATCCCATAAACAAGACATCGCAATGAAATATCAGTAAAACACATTCAAAAATTCCCCTAACTCTTCTACCTGGAAGCTCGGTGTCTGGTTCGTATGAACATTTATCAAATTACCACAGTCTCATGCCCTTTTCGACGAGCAGTGACTTCTAAAAATGCCTCCCCCGGCTGAAGTCATGACCAACACGCTCGGACGCATTAACTCGTTACTCGCCACAAATTGAACACGCTCCGGCACCTTTGGTGCGGGCGGATTTGGTGTTTTCTAAGTGTATGTTGTTTTTTGGCCGTTCTTCCGCCCACGTTAATCAATCGTCAGAGCAAGGTGCGTGCTGCAGCGTTGTGGTAAAGAAGATGAAGCGAAGGAATTGCAGTCTACCCAGCAGTTGTTTCCCTGTGTTTTGTTCCTTATGTTGCAGTGCAGTAGCATGACATTCCCACAACGAATGCGAATTTGGCACTTGAAAAATCAAGGTATGACAAAGTGCTGCGCCAAAAGCCAGCCGAAGGACACGAGGCTGTAAAGTTGATATAAAGTTGATTTTGATGTACTATAGTTGCTGGAAAGGAAGAGCGCACTTCTTTTCGAAATTATGAGATCAGGAGTCTCTTGTCCCTTTTTGCCACAGGTTGATGTCACTGTGCTAGCAGTGGCATGCAACAACGTTGTGGCCTTGCGTCGCTGACATAGTGCAAAAGTGACCAAATAAGTGCAATGTCATCTCCGCCAATATCACTTTGGGTACGGATCATAAATTAGGGCCCAAAGAAACACAAACAGACGGGTTCTGTTTCGGTACTTGCCGTCCTTTCATGTTCATCCATTCCTGCATTGGTTCATGGCTGTAAATGGGCAGCGCTTCAGGTTCTGAGGGCAAGTCTTTGTTCGACAGCCTCAAGAGGATCAACGTTGCATCAAAGGCCTTCGAGTCTTGCAACACGTACGTCATGAGTACCTGCTACAGCTACCTGGGTTGAAGTTAGTGCGCCAATATGGCATGCAGCAAGCTGATATAAGCTGATGATTGGGTCTTGCATTGTAATGACATCATGAGTGGTTGCAAGCTCTTGGCAGGAGAGCTTGGAGCACAAGCTCACGCGCAGACAGATGGTGGATATTGCCTGCAACAAGATTCTCCTTTTGCTTCAGGTTCCAGCTACTCGAACCACACCAACAACAATTCATTCTTGACTAAAGCACCGTTGATCTTTGCAGCTCCAGGCACACAAAATGGATGTTGCTAAGAAGGAGCTTGAGAAACTTCGCAATTGCCCTGGATACGTTGCATTGAGCGTCATGCCAATGTCACTCAGAAAGCCCTTTTTCTCTTTCACATCCATTCACCCCATTGAGGCCAAAGCTATTCTGACCACCCGAGAGTAGCATTGGTACAGGCTGGCCAGTGTGGGTACTTCCATACCATGTTCCAATCATGTTCCAATCATGTTTGGATTCATCACATCAATCTTCACAAAGGAAAGCTAGCAAGCATCTAGCAAGCTAAAGGGAGACACACCATGACACACCTGCAAACTTTGTTCGTGCCAGAACAGCCAGGCAGCCATGGCCTACAGAGAAAAGAAGAGCAAAGCTTGCAGATTGCCCAGACATGCCCAGACATGGCCAGACACTGTTGATCACTGTTGCTTGGGTGCTTGGGATCTGTGCTGGGCCTGGTTGATGCACATGCCATGAAGTGTGTGACCTGCTGCCCATGGTGTGACGAGCCGGCAGCTGATGCTCCCAGGCGAGGAAGTACTCCAAAGCTACTTGACATCACATCCTGATGATGCTCAGGCCGACCGCCGGTTTGACTAGAAGCACCCAACAAAAAAAAATCAAAAGTCAGGAAATGTCAGGAAAGTTTGATAAGAAATGCTGCACAATTCACTGTGGATAGTGAGGTCCTTGGCAGCTGTCCTTCCAGGTGATTCTTCCTTTGGCACAGCTCTACGCACAACAGCACAAACATGAAGCAGCAGTGGAGGCAGCGCCTTTGGATGGTGCAGACTTCCAGGGATTTCATCCTTTGTTGGTAGCGCCGATTTGATTACAGCAATCCCTCTAGTAGCAATATCAATGAAACATAATGAAACTATATACTAAATCAAACAAGATAGATTCGGCTTTTATATGCTTTTATCGTGTCCAACAGGAATCACAAACGTTGAGAAAAGCGGAGCACCAAAGTGTTGCTCATGAGTCGGCGCATCACTTCTGTTGCACTGCAAGCTCCCAAGATTCCCAAGCAGTGGCGATGCGAACAGATGCGAACAGGTTCTCGCCAAGCTTCCCCTCAGCAGTAGCAGCCTGAGCTATGCCATGATGCGTCACGATGACTCGATGACCCACAATGAGCCACTTCCGACTCAGCGAGGCCGAACGCAGCCAACCACAGTGGAAGCCATAGTGAGCCTCTACAACAGGCCAGAAGCCAACTTGGTGCCAGTCTGTACAGGTTGTTAAGAACCGTGAAGTAGCTTTATGCTCTATATGTCTGTATGGTGGCTTGCTTGTATATCAGGCAGAAGAATCCTGAGAAAGCAGTGGCCTGCTTGCGCGAAGCTCCTGCCCCAGCATTCTTCTTTCAGATTCCTGCAGCCAACCCAACCGCGTTGCTTGGAACAAACACCTCCAAGATCTTCAAGTATCTCAAAGTACAGAATGATTTGGATAGGCAATCCAGTACTGGTCCAAGAACGAGGAGGAGACCGACACTTTGGGCCAGGCCAGTGGCCTGTGGCTGTCGTTCTGTCGTGTCCGTTGTGGCCCAGTGTGAGGTGCTGCGAATCGCAGCTCGTGTTGCTGTGCAGATCAAAGACAGAGCCTTGGCCGCTGAGGCCGCAGAGGGATGGCCACATTTTGGTGATGCCACTGGGAACTTTGTGTTTAAATTTAACATAGCTATTGAAAATGGCCATTTATAGTGGATTTACCCATTAATAATGGTGATTTTCAATAGCTATGTTAAATTACCAGAGGGTAATTTTAAGAGAGTGATGCCATCACCAAAAGGCATGAAAAGGCTGAGTGATACTTGGATGATCTTGGATGACTTTGGAAAGGCTCAAGGTTCAGTTTGAGCCGAGCCTGAGCCTGGCAGCCTCTTGGTAAGACATGATAAAGCATGGTAAGTTTAGAAAGCGGCTGACACGCGGCATGTATCAATAGGCAGGACATAGACGTGAATGAGCCTGATTTACACACTTGTGCATCTTCAATATCTTCACGGAGCAGCATAGCTGACATGTTGCACCTCCTTGAAGCATTTGCCATGGCACTCTTCCCCTGTGACAGCCTGTGACCTGTAGCATGTGGAAGCCTTGGTGTGTCCAAACGAAACTCTTCAAGCTCTTTGCATTGTGATTTTGCATTGTTTTAGCATGGATTAGCATGTTTGAACTGAGGATTTGGAAAGCCTGACTATGCAAGAAGATGAGGACGCAGAGGTGACGCGAATGTCGCCTGCTGAACCAATCCATTCATATCCACCACATCCTGCGGATTCGTTGCCCAGGAAGAGATCTTCCAGCCTGGGCACCATTAGGTGTCTGGCAGGCCAGTGTGGAATTCAAGCCTCAAATTCTACAGACCAACATTTGTTGAAATTGAGATCCCAGAACTTCATAATGTTCATAGGATTCATAGGTTATGAAAAGGTTGCCAACTCCTTGCAGGAATGACTGGATGCAGACACCATCATTTGGTCCTGAAGATGAAGGGCTCCTGGTGTTGCCAAGTGACTTAAGTGAGGATGAGCTGTTGGAAGCCGTCGTGGAGAATGATGGAGGAGTGGAATTGAAGGATGAGGCCAAGAAGGCCGAAGAAACCGGTGAAATGGAGAACTTGGAGCAAGCTGAGCAAGCTGCTGATGGAGAGCAGGACGAAAGCAATCTTCAACAGGCAGGAAAGGGGCCAATAGTGGAGGAGTGCCTTTGTCAACTTTGTTCTCTTGGCTAGGGCGGGTGAAGAAGGCGCACCTTGAATGTGTGTTTTTGTAATATTGATATCCCAGAAGCACACAGAATCTAGTTCGACGCCCTTCAAAGTCTCCCAGGTTTCTGATGAAATATAGACATCTGCCCTGGAATCAGGCCATCGAATCTCCTCAGTTGAGTACCAAGTCGGCTTCGCGCAGCAAGAGATGTATTATTCGACCTCCTGCACTGACTCTTGCAGAAGCAGAAAGTGCTGGAATCCTGCGGCCTCGCTCTGTCAGAGTGCCCGGCTGCTCGGTGCTAACATCTTCAAGACTGCGAGGAAAGCGGCTCTGTGTACATGGCCCTGGTGTCCGCGGGAAACGCCGTGCAGATGCCGAGCTGGCTGGGGTACCTGAAGCCGAATCTCCCAAGACTGATGGAGCTTGGTGCTGGGCAAATTCCCTGCTGGACATGAAGGTGTGCCATCAACCCCGAGATGCGTCTAGCCCCACAAGCCCAACTAGTCCGGCAACTCCAAAATCACGGCCAAAAACTGCGGAGGTGTCAAGTGTTGGATTCTTAGTTCAAGATGCAGGGACGTGCACTCGTAGATTCTGCAGAGAATTGTCAATCGGCCAAGCTAAACGGCCAAACGAGGATTATAGACTTCCAACCAAGTCCTGGATTGCAAGGCTGGTTTCCCGCGACGGATGTTGCTAGATGTCCATACTGCCTTGCGTGGTTGAACAGGATTCCTTCCGAGACAAGTCTGGAGCAGAAACGACAAGAACGAAATCGAATTGCCCATAGCTCAGCATTTTGTTCATTCTTTTTTTGTATTGATCCAGGTTGCACCACTCAAGCATTGATTGCTTGGAAAACTCAATCGCTCCGTGGCTGGATGTGAATTGACGCCGCACCAGGTTGTGGCACAGCGAATCACGCCACTGGCGCATGCACCTGAGGGTTGTCAAAGCTCTGAAATGATCAAGGTTCCCTGCCTCGCTCCCATGGCCAGTGAATTTCGAGATGAGGACTGTTCGAGCGGCCTTTAAAGGCAAGAGCTTGCTGGAGGAGAGGCGGGGCAAGTATCCAGCTCAAAAATAATTGGACCTCTTAATGACCTCTTCCTATTTTTCCTCATATTTACTCATGACGCGTCAGTCTTGACTACAGATCATACATAGGTGGATTGGGAATTTGGATGACTCGGAGGCTGACACAGCCAGCGCCTCAAGAACCTTTCAAGCAACTCAATAAGATAGCACCACCAACCAAGGAATACCGTAGAATCCAGCAATACCCAGCGACACCCAGCGACACCATATGCTGAGGAGATGAGCTTACCAGCTGCTGGGGCTTAGTGCAACAAAGCTTTCAGAAAGCTTCACAAACTCCCTTGGAGCGCGGGAGTTTTCTACTCCACCAAGGTGCTTGCCTGGTTTCGGCGCACTGGCATTTACAAGCATACGGTGCCTCAGACATGTTTACTATTCGACACACTTTCCATTTAGATTCTAGACCACACTGATCCAAACAAGTTTGTAGCTCCACGTGCCAGCTCCTCACCGATGCTGAAGCCAAATTCTCGGACGTGCCATCATGCGTTGTTGAATACTTTGTGCAAGTCACGGACCTTGTTGGTGAAGTGTGGAGCATCTCAAATTGCAAAGGTTGTGGATTACGTGCAGCAGATGATGTCTGGGCGGAAGGCATGGCAAGCTTTGGCTTGTTATTGACAGTAACTGATTGAAGCACGGAGGCTTTTCCTATCCTGTTTGTGCAGTTACTTGTTCCATCTTCTTCCTGAACCAAACCCGAAGCTGCCATCCAGTACCGCTAAAAAGTGGACCCCGCAAGCTGTGTGATGAGTTGATCGAGAGGTGGCTGCCATTGTCAGCATCGCAAATCGGCGCAGCAACTCTATCAGCCCAGTGCAGTTTCAGGCCATCATAATCTGCGAAGTTCTGATCCATTTATATATGAGGCATCAGAGCATGCGACAACAATACACATCAACCATAAATGAATGATCATAATGTGTTTGTCTGAAAATAGGAGATACCAACAAATAACCATTTTAATAGGGAAAACTTGATAATCCATTGGAATTGGAGTACCATATTTTCAGACAAAATAGACAAACTCATATGTGTTCATGCAAAGAATGGTATCATTCAGTTCTCTCACAGAGGCCTTGGTGCACTGGATTGCCCAACACAAGGCTAGCCTGGTATTCAAAAGTGCGAAACTGTGGGATGCGTTGCATCTTTGATGTCACTGGTCAGGGCATCAGCTTTTCAGAGTGCATTGCCAAATTGGTGAATCATCCTGGGGCTCAAAGGACAGCTGCGCAGCGACCTTTCCGTGACATCTTATAACTGCGTATATACATGTATATACGTGTTTTGCTAAGGCACTCTGAACCCTTTGCCAAGCCTTTGAGGACCCGATTGGAGCACTACTTTGCCGAATTTGCTCATGGCTCTTCAAGCGGCGCTCAAACTTAGCACAATGTGCAGAATGTGGAAGCTGAAGGTGCTTGTTATACTCACAACCGTAACAGCAGATGTGTTGAAAACGCAAGACGTGAAGCTTTTGCTGTGGCCAAGGTTTCATGACGGTCTACGAGTTTACACGTTTTTGCAAAGTCTTCGGGCTTTTCAAAATCACGCGCAAGAGGCCATGGTTTTGAACATCGTTCTGTCATGTTCTGTCTATCTCACAGCCCAAATTAAGCCACTTCTTGTCAGGTTCGTGGAGGGTGATGTACAGTTCCTCTTCACCAGTAGTCCGTGTCTCAGCTTTTGCGAACGTTGCGAATCACCCCCTGGTGAGGTGTTGGTGGATGGTGGTGCCTGTGCTCATATTTTGCCAAGACGAAAACTGCAATCCTTTGGCATTTGAGTATGGTTAGAACGTGTTAGAACATATTCCAACCCTTTCTATCCGATCCATTTCCAACATGTTTATCATGTTTTAACTTTAAATATACAAGCCCTAAACATAGATGGCCGAGCGGACAACATGCGTCAGTTTGCTTGTGGCAAAATGAACATCAGGAACCTTACTGTTGTTTGTATGAATTGTGTTGCTACGTAATTTTTGCTTATTTGTATGACTCTTGTATGTATGAACGATATGAACGAACATATATGAAATAGGTTGAAATAGCATGCATTAGTATGTTGACCAGCGGACAAATCATGTCTTTTACGTGGAGGATCTCGGAGGGTGTGTTTCCGATTGCATTGCATTTTCATTTTTGGGAATCGATGCGGGTGCTGCCGTTGAAGTAGAAGATTCCTAAGATGTGTACTAGAAAGGGCAGATGCGTTCCCCAGCTTTTGCTGATTGAGAAGTAATTCAGATTTATATATTTAGCTTTAGCATGCGCAGCAGACCCATATGTTATGGGTTCCCAATGTGTCCCATTCAAATAAGTCCCAAGTCTTGCCATGTTTTGCCCCTTTTGCAGGTGGCGAAGGAAAAGCAGTGGACCTGGAAGGGTTTAGACGGATACTTGGGCAGGCAGATTACGACGGGTCATGGTCACGACAGGAGGTCGGTGAGGTTGGTCCACGCAGCTCTTGTGACTTTCAAGTGTCCGGCAGGTCGCCAAAAGGATAGACCTACCCCTGCAGGCACAGGGTGTGACTAAAAAAGTGAGATGTGAAGAAAGTGACAGTGACCAGCAATCAGAGATCAGAGCAAATTGCGCCAGGAATTGCTCCATTTGCTGGGTGAGAAAGAAGCTGCCCGCACGTTTCATTCAATAGGTGCGCTCTCGACTTTGAGTTCATGGCCAATTTGCTGTCCAAAGCAAAGGGTGCCTTCATGTGCTTTCCGTTGAGGCAAATGAGACTCTGAGTTCCAAAGCGAACCTGATGGACATACTAGCTCTTTGCAGGCTCAAAGAAGCGAGCAGCAAAGGAGTGCCCACATGGGATTCATGGATGATTTCCTACTGTATCCATTGGTATCCACTAGGCAATCTCTTCTTTGCTGAAGCCTGGAAGATAGCTCGGTGCCCCTTGCAAAAAGCGGGGCGCGTTGCTCCTGCTGCTGTCAAATGTGCGGCTGCTCACAGGAAGCATCGGAGGAGTGAAAAGGATGCGGCAGCAGGTTATTGCCCAGTGACCAAAAACTGGCCGTGCACATCAAAAAAGAGAAAAAAATGTTAGGTGATCGCTATACGGCTTAGAGATTGCTTAGAGTCTGCAGGTCTATCAGAGTTTCCTTGAGAACATCGATGGATCGGATTATGAAGCGCTGTGTGGCCTAGTCCAGGCCAGGACAGCAAGATCAGCAACTTTTGTTACCAAAGCGTTACCAAAGGATCGATGGAACCTGCCAGGCATTGTCGGTTACAGATCCAGAAAGGGCGACCGAGTGCGACTTCTCGCAATCGAAGATTTCTGAACATTTAGAAGCTGGGTATTAAATCTGTCATAAATCTGTCATAAATTTGAGCAGCCTTGGGATCCCTTTGGTTCTCAGGTACGCAGAAAGGCTGCAGGTGCCTTCCTTTGATCACCTTGATGCAGAGGAGAAAACTGCCAGAATTCTTGGAACGGGATTTCCATTCGGGTTCAACAGTTCCTCATTGGCAGGATGAGTTTTCCAGTCAAAACCACAACATCCAATGACCACGTTTGCGTTTGCAGGAGCTTGAAGCACAACCAATTCCAAAGGTTGGAGCAATGCTGCTTGACGGCTTTAGCCACCTCTAGCTGCCCCTTCCAGAAGCTTTTGTGCTAGCAGAGCAGTTCGTGATTTGCTTGCAGCATCTTGCAGCTTTCCCAATGAGTTGGTCTTTGGCTCTTTCATGGCATTTCATGGAATCTCAAGACTGAGCATTCAATTTTCGTTCAGGTTTTCTCAGCGAAGACGCGACCGCGACGAGGAGGTGCGGTTCAGAATAGTATCTCGAGATATATAACACGAGCGCCCAAGTATACTTTAAAACCCAGCCTATCCCAGCCTGATATCAGCGCTGCAAACCCGGTAAGGCTGATGGAAAGCTCACAAAACCGAAGAAAAAGCGGAAGTCGGGGCGACTCAGATTTGTTGATATGTTGTGTGATATTTTGTGATCAATTTGGATCAACTTAAGCGTCTTCAGCACCTTGATGTGCAGTACTCTGAGGCGAAAGATTCGGTACCCGAAGGGCTTTGATCCCGAAAATCCAGGACCTCCTCCTGACCCAGAGAGGTAGGACCGTGGATAGCCTATGATAGCCTTATTCAGCAGATTCTGTGTGTTGATTTTCTGTTTGATTCTGTTTCGCTTCCTGCCCTTTGCAGATGGCTCCCAAAGAGAGAGCGATCAGAGTTCAAGCCACTCAGACATGCTTTGAACTTTGAACACATATGCATGGCGTGCAGCAGCACTGGAACAGACTCTACCAGCTGCCAGGAAAAAGATGCGGAAGAGGGACAAGCATTTGCTGCGGGGCCCACAAGGGTCAAGCACCCAGAACATCCCAGAACCCCAGTTGACTTGGTCGTTTTTTTACAGATGTTCTTGTGGACTTGACCTGAATGCATGTCATGTTCAGACTTTTTCCTTCAGGGCGATCACCACTGAAGACTTCAGAAAGCAGGGCCCATCAACGGCTCAAGTGGAGGCCAGATGGGAACAGGAATGCTGTGCACTTTCCTGGTTCAATCTGTATTTGACCCCTGCAAAACAGGTCTCCAAGGATGCAGCGGGACCTTCAAGACGAAGCAACAGAAAAAACAAAGGCGGATCAAATTTCCCTTCGCTGCTTATTTGTGCCACATCCAGAAATTATAGCGTTGGATTTTGTCCCTTGCAAGGCAAGTGAAGAGTGCAGCTCCCGTTCTTGCCTAGCTGAAGCATTCAGTGGTGAAATCGTCGGATCGCTTTGCAGCGGCTGAAACGAATGTGCTTGTGGGTTTGGCGAAGAGGTCTGCCAGATATCCCCGGATCAACAAATGCCAGAAGCACAAATGGATGCAAATGGCATCAAATAGCTCATGTTTTGCATTGAGTGCCGAGCGTAAGGCATTGACTCACATTTTGCGAGTACGAAAGGCTGTTTGTTTTGTTTGTTTGGATTATGCACTACTGTGCCATTGGGGGCAGAAAAAAAATATCGCCTGCCAACTGCACAAGAGCCAGGTGCGAGGCATGGAGAGCCAAGGGCGAAACTAAGCAGCGCAGAGAGGTCGCTGAAAAGAGTTCCTGCATGTTCCTCCTGACCTCAAAATGCCTTGGCACGGAATGTTTGAACCTCTTGGAATTTGCTTCACTTGTTTTGCTTCAACGCACGTCGTTGATGAGTGCCTTTGGCGCAGCTACGGCTTTTTGAGCACTTGTTGCTGGCATATTCCTGCCATTTGTACGGGTGTCCAATAGTGTTTTGTCAATTCCTCTTCGGTTGTCTTGGATCACAGGACTATGAGCCGTCAGGACTCCACTTACCAAATATCTCCAAATGTCTCCAGTGTGCCCCAACTCACCTGTGAATCCATCACACATGTATCACTTGTAGGACAAGAGAAAGATAGAGAAAGCATGCTTCTAGTGCAGTGATGGATGCTATGGGTAGTTCTAGATCGAGAGCGTGAGGCCTTAGTGCACGGGGCTAAGACCATTGTGCAGCAGAACTTGGAACACCGTCGAGACTGATAATGACAAGCGAATCCTGCACCAGTGCAGGTGGTTCTTTTTTTCAATGTTTTTGGTCCTCTGAACTGATGCTGTCAGCAGACTTCCTGAGGTTGCTGTGAGCAGACTGCCTTGAGGACAGTTACTGTGCGGATGATGGCTGACTCAAGCTGAACCAATTTTAAGAGCAGCCAGAGGCAGTAGTGTAGAGATGATGGAAGATGTGCTGCAAATACCACTGCCTTCACTTGCCATGTTGAACCTGCAGCTGGGCTGTGCCCAGTGGGTTGGGCTGGGGTTGAGAGGGCTTCAAAATGCTTCAAAATTAGACAGGGCAAAGGAAGCTCGCAGAAAACATACAGAATAAAATGCAGCCCACGTACAGACCCAACCAGCAAGTCCACAAGGGAAGAAATACAAAGGATAATTGTGTCATGTGCAATGTTCCCACGCTGAAGTCACTGCCAGGATTGTGGAACCAGAGTAGTTGAAACATCTTGAAGCATGTTGAAACAGATTGAAACATATGAATACAGTTGAATACATACGAAACATCGGAAAAACATGAAAAATCCTTTAACATCTTTGAACCATGAAATTACTTCGACTGCTCCTGCCAATGCTGTCAGCACCTGCTTGGGCTTGGTGAGGCCCCCAGACTGACGCAGACTGGTTTGGATTTGTTGGTCTTCCATTCCCATAAAAGATGCCTGAAACCCAAAGAGGTTAAAGCGGTTAAAGGATGTTAAAGGTCCAAAACATGGTATCGCAGAAAAAGTCTCCCTCAAGTCAACCCTACCTAGTGAATCCTAGTGATCCATATCATAGGATCATAATGATCATAGGTCCAATGGTCCAATGGTCCAATGGTCGGTGTCCAGCGCTGAGGAACAGAGAGTGCGACGTGGCTTGCGTCCAGTATCACAGCTTTCAGGCGCCACAGCGTCCAGTTTCCCAATTTTTGTTGAGTCTTTTTCATTAGTGAAGTCATGGTGACAGGAGAGCCTCGAGCAGGCAAAGTTCACGTGTGTTGGTTCCTCAATTTTCCTTGCACTGTTTGCAATGTCGCGTTCTGTGCTTTTATATATTTAATTTTCTTTTATTTGGGTGTCTCTAAATTGGGAGGAACATGCATTGCTGGATTTTATTGGCGGTTTGGGAAGGGAATGGATTTTGAAGAATCCAATGATCACCTCCAGCTTTGGCCTATCAACAGCTAGAGCATCACAACTACCTTGCCAATTCTGTGCATCAACAGATGCAAGAATCTGGCACTACTTGTAGCAAGAAAAGCATGGAAGACCACCAATGGTTTGAGTCAAGCATTCACTGGGGGCGATTCCTAATTCATTTGCCTGGTGATGACCCGCCGTGAGGAAGAAGATGGTGACTGCCCTGGAATTGTTGACTTCTCTGGCAATGGAGGCAAACATGCCCTTTGCAAGACCAGACCTCAGCCTGCAAAGCTGCAATGGAAGATATTTGTTGGTATAATTACTGCGGTCTGGTATTTTTATTGTATTCTACTATATGAGTTATTACTAAACATGTGTAGTATACATTGTTGTTATACGCTATTGTATAATGTTGTGCATTGGAGGGTGGCAACCGAAGACAGTGGTGATGGTGATGATGTAAGACGGTGTTTACAACGCTACAGTTATATACGTTACTGAATTTCACATTGCTGAAAGGAGTGGGGCAGAAACACGGCACTGGCCAAAGGCCCGGCAAGAGATGTGGATACCCAATGCTACCAATGTGCTTCCAGAGATTGCAGACATGGATCTTTGCTGATTGCATCAGTTGTCAGGTTTGTGTGGAATGGAAAGACCATGGAGAGCTTTGACGGCTCCAAAGAAAATACAGTCAACTGTACACTGAAAAAGGATGAAAAAGGTGCTTTTCTCCAGTGCATGCATGGACCCAGAAGCAGATGTGCTCGTGCTTAAAAAGCTGAAAGACGTTCTAAGCAGGGACCACGCAACTAACGAATGAGCCTAGAAAGGCAGTGTTGCAATTCCTGACTGATGTGATGGTGATGAGGAGCAAACTACCAAGCAAGCAGCAGCATCGAATAGCAGAGGCAAAATATGGGTGACCAGGGCGAAATCTTGCTTGCATGAATGAAAAGTACCAAGCATTGCAGCAATGTGCTGAAGCACCAGATTTCTTGTGAACTGCGCTTGATTTCAAGGTGGCCAGCTGCCCAGAATTTTGACTTGACCAATACAAACATTCAGAACTACATTGACTTGATGCACACTCAACTTCGGTTGATGCTAGAAAATGCTACTTGTGTTGCCTTTGTTTGCCATAAACTGTTATTTGTAGTGAGACCAGCAAACCAAACTCCCAAAAACCTAACAAGCTAAGATCAGCAGTCAAGACTTTGATTTTGCTGATGGACCCAGCTCTTGCGGCGCGGTTTGCGCGCCAGAAGGACCTTAGAAAGCCATGTTTGTTCCTTTGACATGTCATATGGTATTTTGATGCTTGCGGCGTCTCTGTTTTCACAGACAGTGCCCAGGAGAAGCTCGAAAGAGGCGATGATGTGGTGGAAATCGGCTCCCAAGCTGATCACAAGAAGCAGCTTGATCCTGTCCTCGCACAGCGGTGGGTGGTACCGGCGAGTTGGATCGAGTTGATGAGATGACTTCAGAATACTTCAGATTTGTTGAGCCGAGCTGCTACCCAGAGAACACCAGGAGAAGTTGCAAACCGGAGAAGTTCCGAAGTGTGTGGTGAACGATGACATTGGATCAATCGCAGCAGCAGGGCTGTAGTTACTGTAGTGTTTTGTAGTTGTATAAGCTGTTACCACCAGGTTTTGATTCGCTGAAACCGAGGACAAGACGGTCAAATTGGATCCTGTCCTGGCCAAGCGATGGTCAAAGCAGCAGGCTCGAGTTTGTTTTGGACATGTGGCATGCTGTGGCAGCCAGTGGTAAAAAGCTGCAGGAGCGAATGGATGACAATTATGTCTGCGAAATTCCAGATGTGGTCTCGCTGGCAGACAAGTCAACGAATTCTGGCATGCTTAACAAGACCTTGGGCATTCTATGATTCCATGATATTCAATGGATTTCTTCGAAAAGATGTCTTTTCATGTTTGAGGAAACAAAAGGGTCGTGCCTTGTTCCAAGGGAGTCAATGTTCATACACTGTACTCATCTATTGAAGTTTAAGTCTACGGACACGGCTGTAATGCGTATCGACTTTGCAGTGTGAAATGTCGTTCTTGCCCCAACAAACTGAGGAAGATAGATCCTGTTCTTGCAGAGCGTTGGGCTGCGAAGAACGAACGCTTTGCTGGCTTTACCGAAGGTTCTTGGGATTTCTTGAGTTGTTTTTTGCTTACTTGTTCTGAGTTTTGCGGTTTTCCAACGGCTCATATGCAGCATCGGCGGATGCCAAAAAGCAAGGGGAATGTGACCTGAGCTGAGAGAAACAGTATGACAGCATGACAGGATGTGCGCAGTCTTTGGAGGGCCGCGAAACCCGACAGCCGCTTGCGGGCTGGAATGATTTCTCAAACTTCTCCTGCTCTAGGTGAGGAAATTCCTGAAGTCGGGTCCAGAGCGGACTTTTCAAGGAGACTTGCACCTTGCAGATAGATGCTTTGCTATGCTTTGCTTACGTCCCGAAATTCTTAAGCTCCAGCACAATTCTGCAGTCCTGCAAAGGGAAGCCAGGTGTTATCCACCCTGATGTTACCGTTGGCACTCTTACACTCCTCTTGGATTGTCATGGTTTGCCCCGAAAGAGCCTTGGCAGGAAAGACACAGAGCTCGCCAAGACCTTTGCAAAAATGCAGAAGCAGGCGAAGAGAGGCCTGTGATTAGATTCTTCGGTGTGCTCAGTTTCCTGCTCTGAAACTGTCAGCAGCCTGCAAGTGTGATTGTGCATCATGTTGTGTGGTGCCTGTGTTCCAGGAAGCGGTGAGGCAGAAAGGTGTCAACTTCAGTTTTCAGCATCCTGACTGCACTCTTGGAACTCCTCAACCACCATCAGCTGCGTGGAAACACCCCCTGGGATTTGCCTTCAACAGTGCGTCTCCCCGTTTTTTATTTATGCGTTTTCAATACCAACAGCTGTCAATAGCTGAGCCATGACCAAAACGCTGGTTGACCCCATGTATATATTGGGAATTTGGGGATTCACAAAATCCCAGTCAACCAAGCAGATTCAACCTGTACAAAGGGATAACAGCTTGTCAATTGCCGCTTTATCAACTCCGCAGGCTGGGCAACAGCTTGAGCAAACTGCGCCATGGGGTGCAGATGGGCGACAAGGGCGCCTTCAGTGGAGCGCCGTTGCTTGGCCCTATCCTGGTAAGTCCTTAGTGTCATATTCTTGATGTACTAGAATTGTACTAGAATTGTACTAGAATTGTACTAGAATTGTACTAGTATCTTGGAACATTCTTGGGAACACTGTGGAACATCTTGGAGCAATTGGATCAGGTCGTCCTTTCAGATCTCACCATCGACTTGGAGGTCCGTGCAGTGGTTCGAACCCCTCCTGAGACAGAGGGCAGCGAAGGGGTGACAGAGCAAATTGTGCTGCAAAGGCTGGGCCAGTTTCAATTTGTTTCTATCCAACTCTGTTTCCTTGCCGACAAGCAATGTGACAAGGGCCAGACTTGTCATGCAGAGTCCTTCTGCGTGCAAGGAATGCTCGTGGAGTCACGTTTGTAGGGACTCTGGATGCCAGCTGCGACAGGACAGAAAGACATCTCGAAGGCGAATACAAAAATAAACGATGTGCAGTTTAGCAAGATTACCAGATGCATCGCATGCCACACAGTTCAATGAAACAAGCATTTCACAGACTGCCTGAGAGGAGACTTGGTGCCACTGCAGGCCAAGTGAAATCTTGATAGATGTCATAACCGGCAATATAAAGGACTTTGAAGACCCAGTGGATTATGAGTTTGATGCAGGTGACAAAAAAATCAGGAAGGAAGTCTTGCACTTAGCGGATCAGAGGCAAAGGGCAAAGGTGAATTTATGTAGTGGAGCAGCAACACTAGCTGGATTTGATTTGAAGCTGAGGTTTTGTCTGTCATTTTTAAGTTCAGCAACTCGTTTAGTTGGTTCACGTTTGGCTGGCACGTTTCAATGCTCAGTAGTTCATAGCTTGCCAAGATCCCCATCGCATGATGATATGCCGTGCCAGGGGGAAGGAGGTTGAGCTGGCAGGCGCCCAAGACATCCTAAACCTGGTCTAAGAGCGTCTCTTGGGTTCGCCCACTCTCCAATGATGGACTCTGACGTATGATATCGCGAGGGAAGCATGTCCTCCCCATCACATTAAGGTTTTCCACTGATACTGCAACACTGACGTCTCATGCTACAGTTGTGTTGGCCGGCAGCAAGATCTCGAATTCCGAGGTTCTTTTGAAAGAATGAGACGAAAAGGTCTCTCTGAAAAGGCTGCTGTTGATTCAAATCAAAATGAGTTGTTTTTCGATGTTTCAGAATGTTTCAGATGTTGCCACTTTCAGAGATACGCATTTAATGGACTTGGCTTTGTGTATGACAAGTGCTCTGCCAATGGCGAGCACGAGTCTTTCCAATAATGTGTAGTTTGCGAGTAGTGAACTCTGACGGAGACATGGCGAGCCCATCACGTGCTAGGCACAAGGTGCTAGGCATAAAATACGTTTTTCAGGCGCACTTCGATATTGGACCTGCGATGCTGCATAGTAGCATTATAGTTTCTATTTTGATATTTTGCATCAACGCAGAACAGAACAAGCTGATCAAATACACGCAGTGGCTCGTTTGCGCAGTTTTGAACACACATACACGATCATACACGTATGTATATATATTCGAAGGAAGTTTAGAAGTCAAACTTCCGACAACATGGACAGATGAAAAGCAGAGATGGGAAGAGTCAGAGAAGAGAAGAGAAAACGAAAGAGGCTCAAAAAGAGAAAGTCTCAGAAGAAAGAAGATCCAGGTGCGCAAAAAAGTAGGAAAGTCGCGAAACACTGTGTTTTTCTAATGATTTGTGGCTCCGGAGGGTCGAAAAGTAGGCTCGCTAAAGCGGCGGGTGCGGGGCCATGTGGTCAGATGAAAGATGAAAAGTTGCACGCCGTTGTGGCGTAAAGCACATTTCCAAGTCAAAATGTTCAAAACACGCCAGGTTCAGAGCACTAGAAGGTGCGATGTCGAAAAAGTGCATGCCGTTGTGGCGCGAAGCACAGTGCCAAGTCAACATGTACAAAGCACACCAGGCTCGGACCACTTTTGGAAGTTGAGATGTCGAAAAAGCGCACGCCGTTGTGGCGGGAAGCACATTTCGAAGTCAAAAGTGCAAAAAACTGAGGGGTATGGAGCACTTTTGGGCGTTCAGACGTCGTGTCGCGTGGCAGGCGCAAGGGATTGTGCACCTTGTCAAAAGTGAGCAAAACGTGAGGGTTTTGTAGCAGTTTCAAAACCGATGGCAAGCGTGGGACACATGCAGAGGATCTGGCAAGATGCATTTTCCGTGGCAGGCGCAATACAAGAGACATGATCATCAGAGATGTTAGGAAGTCCGGGCGCTGATTTCCTGAGAGGGGTTGCATTTTGGAGCAACAGATCTTCAGTTTTGGGAAGATGATTTTGCGTGACAGGTGCAGCACTTCGTATGACCTGGCCCCACTTTTTTGTGGCAGGCGCAGTACTTTAGACAGGTGGAGTGGAAAATCGGAAAACGCATTGGTACGAGGCCGTCAGCTCTGCACTCAACTTTCCATTTTTGAAGGAAGTCTCGCGGAATTGTTTCGTTTTTGATGTTGTCAAGTTCAAAACTTGAGAAAGTCTCGCAGAATTGTTTCGTTTTTGATGTTGTCAAGTTCAAAAATTGAGGAAGTCTCGCAGAATAGCTTCGTTTTCAAACTTGCAGATAGATAGATAGATAGACAGATAGACAGATAAACAGTAAGACAAATAAATCAACAGATCTATAGACAGATGGATAGATAACTGCAACTGCACTACACCACAGTACAACTACAACTACAACTACAACTACACTTCCACTACAACTACAACCTCAACTACTTGCATGTTTTTTCTTGGCATTTTCTCCTGCGCCTGCAGAGGTTCAAACTGTCAAGCGTTCAGTCAGTCAGTCAGTCAAAACTCAGCAGCTCAAATTTTCCGGCCCAGTTTAGCAAAATTGTTCGGAATGGTGGTGACCTTCACATTCTGGTTTGGCTAATGTGGACCTTCACTTAAATACAGAGGCAAACGGGACAAAAACTGCGAGCCTGTGTGCTGAAGCGCAGCTGGATCCATCCACCAATGGACCGACAATATATTCAAATATATTCAATATATGTGTTCACTTGTGAACCATCCATTCTTGGATCGATAATTTTTGAGCCATACCCAGCTGGTCCAATTGTTTGTGCATCGGTGCGCGTCACCATCATGGCGCCTGAGGCCTTGTGGACTAGACACATGGCATCACATGGCATCAGATTGTGACACGAGAAACATATTGCAAGGTTCTTTTGTTATCTGTTTTGCCCGCTACACAAATACGACACGTTTGTTTCGCAAGGTTCAAGACTGACTGGTCAATTGAACCGTTTCAGATATGCCCAGATATGCAACAAATTTTCAGTTGTCAAAGAGTGAATGTCTGTCTGATCATTGGAGAACATTTCAACCTATTCCAAATTCCAACCTGGCCCAATGAGTGGTCGCACCACTAGAAGCCCTGGCCATCGAAAGGTCTCGCTTGGGTCCAGACGCGGTGAGCTTAGATGGTGAACGGCAGTGACAGTGGCAGCATCCCATGATGGAATACAACTGGAAAATACGGAGGCAGCTTGAAGCAAGCTTTGATATTCTGGTTTGTGAGTGGTGCGTCCTCTGTTTCTCAAGCCCAAAAGCTGAAACCGAACGGAACGCTGGAACCCTGGAACCTGCTGTTGAGTTCAGCTAAGTTGTTTTATGATGTTTCATGAAAGTGTGATCTCAATTTTGATTGTTGTTTCGAGTGTTTTTCTCAATCTTCAAGCAAAGGAACATTTCTTGGAAAGAGGTTGTTACATGCCATGTGCGGGTTGGAATAGAATACCATGTTTTTCTCAACAGGTTCCTTCTCGTACACTATGTCCCAAGGTGACGAGTTTCAAGACAGAGGTTTTCTTCTTTTGAAGGGTTTCGTGTCCAAAGATGAGCCCGGCACTTACTCTGGTGCGATCCAACCCTTGGAGATGCTGGAGGGTAGCATGCTGGCATGCAATGTTCCAAACAGGTCACATGCACACCCAAAAAAAAACATGCGCATTTATTTTTTACATTTTTTACATTTGATACATATTTATACTACCTTGATCATCCTTGATCAAAAAAAACATCATGTACTGTAGTTAATCTCGTCAGCGTCTGCCCAACTGAGGTGCGAAAGCATGAAAAAGAGGATGAAGGTGGCCAGTTTTGTGGATAGTTGGCTTATTCTTTTGGAGACAGAGAGCAGCAGATTCTACCCGGCCGGAAGTGTAGAAAAACTGTTGGGAACTGGGTCCTTGTTTTTGAAATAAGGAGGAATTGTTGGTTTGGTCGAAGCTATTCCGCTTTTGGGTGCGTGGAACGAACCATAGAAACTTACCAATTGTGATTGCGAATCAAGTGATTGCAAATGGTGTATTTGCCGTATGCACACACAGGTTTAACAACTGCTTCCGCTTCAGAATTCGCCAGGAGCTCGTGGATGGCTGGGATCCTCAGCTTGAGTCGGGGTGCTCAGTTTCGATGCCCCATGCTGAGACCTCGTGACGATGTGATCGTTTTAGAAGATGTGATGATGTGATGTTTTTTATCAGTCTCTTGTTTGGTAACATTTCTTTTGCGTGCAGTTTTTCCCCTTCATTGTCATGTTGTCGTACAGTACGAAACCTAGGCAAAACGAGTGTATATTTGTTCCTGCTTCTGCTCTTGTTTGAAGACCCTAGACTATATTGAGTCGGCAGGACCCCAGCCGCCTTCACTACTGACAGCAAACAGCAAACTGAGATGCAGGCAAGGCAATCATTCCTTTGTTCCTTTCCCTGTCCATCCAGTCACAGAATTTTGGGAATTTTCATGAATTTTGGAGATGATGGTGATGGACAATGTCACCAGGTGCTGCAAGTTGGATCTTGTGTTGCTGCTCCCTGCATGCAATGGTGTGTGCAATCAGTGTGCAGGGGAAATCCGACTATTTCCTTGACAGTGCTGACCGCATCCACTTCTTTATTGAGAAGAGCACGGCAGACAAGGACAACGGTTGTCGTTCTCATCACGTGTCAATTCTACCGATCCATTTGCTACAAGTGGGAACAGCTTTGATCCTATGGCTCCAGCATCATGAGAGGATGGCAAGCTGAAAGCTGATCAGAAGAAGTTTGAGGCTTTGAACAAGGCATTCCGCAGCATTCTGTCGCACTCCACGGCTTTCTGCAGCGTTGAAGACGCCTTATAGGGGATGCATTAGTAGAACAGACCAGAGATCCAGAGAGCGTGTTGGAAAGTGTCATTACCTTGCGGCCTTTCAGGTGGGACATGGCTTGCATGTCTTGGCGCCTTGGCTTTTGAAATTCGCAGCGCAGAGTCTATTAGACTATTTTACTATTTTACTTTCCTGCTTATGAACCTTTTGACAAGTGAACACGGAAGAGCAATCAATAGAAATCAGCTTGTGACCCAAAGGTACAATGGAGATTTCGATGATGTAATTGTCAATCCAGATGCCAACGGGCAACCAGCCAGTGCTTCAAACTTACTGTGCACTGGACTTTAAGATTGTTGCACCATGCCTTCATCAAGGACCCGGTCTTTAGAGACTACAGCCAGTCGAGTAAGGCTTGGGATTTTTTCAACTTAGCGAACTTGTTCAATACATTTCCATACCAATGGCAAGTATATGATATATGAATATATATGATATATGCTAGTCAGATATGAGTTCTTGATTGTTGAATTCAATCGTATTTCATATTGCACTGCAGTTTTCTACTGGTTTTCTCAGCTGACACCGCCAGATTTCAGAGCTGGTTGAGGAGTTGGGCTGGAAAGATCCCGTGACTTGCCGCAGGATTGATAAAAGGCATCCATTCTTCAAGCGTGGCGTGGCGAATGCCATAGCCAGCAGCAGCTCCCCAATCAAGAACTATGTATACACGCATATACATACACACAATGCATATGCATAGATGCATATGTAAACATACATACATATGTGTATAGTATACATACATGCATGCATGCATGCATGCATGATCACCACCCCTTTAGGCTAATTGCAAGCAGGGGGGCGTTCCAAAAATGTAGATTGCAATTTTGCCCCCTCGGAATTTGACCGCAGGGGTCATGCTAATTGCAAGCGTGGACCCCCCCAACGTCAGAAGCCGAAGCCTAAAGTTTTTACATTTAGAGGGGGGGGGATGAAAAATAAAAGCACGTAAGAGACCGGTCACCCCGTACCCCCCCCCCGAACCCCCCCGAACCTACCCCCTTCGGACATTATGGAAGGGGGGGGGCAGGGAGGTAACAATTGTAAAATGTCTGACGAATTGTCCGAAAACAGTCTCCAAGAAGTTTGCAGATGTTTGTAATCAACCTACACCAAAGGTCCATATTTCCTTGCAGAGACAGCTCAAAGTAGATGATAAAATCAAGATAAATCCATGTAACCATCCTACATCTAAGGTCCTTATTCACTTTGAAATTTGATGGGGTACATTTGAGGTCCATTTGAGGTACATTTGAGATATATTAGAGATCATTTAGGTGCAGAAATGGCTCACTTTTTTTTTGATATGACTTGGCTCTGGAAAGCAAAGCCAGATTCTTTGCCTCAATTTCAAGTAAGCATCCATTTACAAGTGGTTTTCTTATATACACTGCAAAGCAGTGAAATGATGGATCTACCATGCATTTCCTGGTTCTGCAGGGGTTGAAGCTTACAGTCAAACAGGATTACTCTCCAACCTACATTTTCCCTTTTCCAAAATCCAGTAGCATACCGATCCGATATTTTCACCTTTTTTTGCACCTTTCTGATCTTTCTGCGACATATCCTCAGGACCTTTTCAAAGATCCCGAAATTCTTTGCTTCCCTTCCTTTCTTACATCTTTCGGGTTCCTTACCTCCTATGTGATGCTTCTGTATTGTCTTCCCGTCTCGTTTATTCTGTCAAGTTTTTGGAGGGGACTGTTGTGAACCTGTTTCTGCAAGTAAATGTGGACCTTAGGTGTAGGATGGTTACATGGGTTTATCTTGATGTTCTCATCTATTTTGAGCTGTTTCTGCAAGTAAATATGGACTTTAGGTGTAGGATTGTTACATGGTTTTATCTTGATGTTCTCATCTATTTTGAGCTGTTTCTGCAAGTAAATTTGCACCTTAGGTGTAGGATGGTTACATGGTTTTATCTTGTTTTTATCATCTACTTTGAAGTGTTTCTGCAAGTAAATGTGGACTTTAGGTGTAGGATGGTTACACGGGTTTATCTTGATGTTCTCATCTATTTTAAGCTGTTTCTGCAAGTAAATATGGACCTTAGGTGTAGGATGGTTACATGTATTTATCTTGATTTTATCGTCTATGTTTTTTTGAGCTATTTCTGCAAGTAAATATGGACCTCAGGCATATGATGATTACATGATTTTTACACCTGTGCCGAATTAATTTCTCATTGGCAGGAGGCAAATTTGAAGACCTCCAACATCTATTTTTACATTTATTGAATTTTAAGGATTTTCCAATAATTTGCAAGGAATAATATACCTTCTATAAATCTATATTACATGTGTAAATGATGAAAAAGTGTAGAATTCATTGAAAATAACAGGCAATTGAGGCCCTCTAGGGATACAGATTGCAATTATGATTTTATGCAATTCTGCAGCTATTTGCAGACCTCCAGACTATTGTTCTTGCATTTTTTTCCATGTTCTTACATTTGTTTCCGTAAAATGCAACTTGCAATATTGGACGCCCCCCCTGGAAAATAATTGCAAGTCGGTAAAACGTGGGGGTACATAATTGCAATCTACGAACCTATCAAAATGCAATCTTGCAATAAAGACGATGAAAAAAAATGTAAGCATACATTTTCATAGATCCCCCCCAAAACAACGTCTTATTGCAAGCTTGCATTTTGAGCGTCCCCCCTCCTTAAAAGGGTGGTGATCATACATGCATACATGCATACATGCATACATGCATACATGCATACATGCATACATGCACACATGCATACATGCACACATGCATACATGCACACATGCACACATGCACACATGCACACATGCACACATGCATACATGCATACATGCATACATGCATACATGCATACATACATACATACATGTCTAGTATACATACATACATACATGCATGCATGCATGCATGCATGCATGCATACATGCATGCATGCATACATACATACATACATACATACATTCATACATTCATACATTCATTATATTGTTTGTACTGTAATATTTAACAACTGAAGTGCGGAAATACAATTCCAGAAGTTCATATTACTGGACCCAACTATGGATACTGAGTGTAGTAAAAAACACCAAACAATTACAGTGCTTCACAGGGACCCAGCGACATTATGCGCTGCGGATGAAATACAGCACATTATGCATTTTCAATTTTTAAGGGACTTACTATGCTGTTTTTTTTTGCCAGGTTTTTGTGCCCCCATACCAACAATAAATGTCCAGCACGGTTTTCCGAAGATATCAGATGCATCTTCAACCTCTAGGATTCCCATATTAATGTGATCATGGCAGGAGATGGAAGAATTTCCATGTTTTTTTTTTTACGCATGTCATTCCAGACTAAAAGGATCCAAAGGGTTCACGTGTTTGCGATATCCTAAACTTGATGTTCTGTGCCACTACCGTATGACCCACGAATTGTTTTTGCGCACGACATGGCCGTCAATTAGAGTGATTCTATAGGATTCTCAATTTCAGTGGCATCATTGCTGGGTTCTTTGCTTGGTGATTTGGGTGACAGGTGTGCACAGACTCCAGATCAAGAGAGACCCACAGAGGTAGATGAATCATCCAGTTCGTGTGCTGCCAGATACGGGATGAAATCAATCGCGCCGTGCATTCGCCCTCACACTACAAGTCACTACAAGCGAACCAAGGTCCTCCCACAGTCAATGTACATCTTCAAGCAACCACTGGTTGGTGGGGAAGTCACTTCCCATCAGGAGCCCTGTATTGGCAGGACAAAAATACTTAGAACTCGAACCAAAAATTGTGTGTCTTCATACCAAAGTTCTGCATAGAGTAAGGCAACCCAAAAAATGCTACTGATTGAAGGGATTTCCTGCAGCTGTCAGACGATGTCAGACGGCCATTTAAGTTTTGTTGGAAAGTGGTAAAGATGTACTGACTTACAAAGTTGGGAAATCCTGTTGCCCAACACACTGATGGAACAAGGGAGACAAAGGCGGGCCACTAAATGCTAGGGGCAAGTCTTTGGCTGCGTGTGTCTTGTGCCATTGATTCTTTCCCAAATCTTGATTTTCTTTGATCCACAGCTACAGTGCAGATGAAGGACTCATCGTTCCTGTACACAACTCCCAGACCCACATGCTTGGGCGGTGTCCTCAGATTTCTTGGAAGTTAATGAGTTATGAGGTCTCCTGAAGAATTTTGCAAAGACATTTCAAAATTGGAAGCAGTTGGCCTCTGAAAGGTCGTGGTAGAGGATGGTAGAGGCAAAAGTTCAAAGCTGCGCCTTTGTCTCAATACTTGATGACTTGCACTTGCAAGGCTTGTGGTTGGCCTTGGACAAAGCCACTACGGAGAATGGCTGCTTGTGGGCTAGGCCATTTGGAGTTGTGAGACACACCACGGGCAGCCATGTTTAGGAACACCTTGCTCCGAGCAGCTCCACAGAAGAAAAACACAGAAACAATGCGAGTGTGTTTCAGACGGCGATTTTTGATTATTTGAATGGGAAATCTGATAACTAACGATGGGAGCTTTGGGTACCCCATTTTCAGACAAAGCCATGTTGTGTCATCGCAATACGCCGGTCTGTTTCTCTTCACGCAGGCCAGGCTCCCACAAGGAGCCAGTCAGACGTGTGTTTGCCAAGCACTTGGTGCATCATGTAATCATGGGAGTGGATGAATTCCTTAATCTGCTGGTTGCGTTGGTTCCAATTCTTCTTCTGGCGCAGTTGCGCACGACTGCAGAGTTGCACTGCAAAGAGAGTCTGAAGGTCAGAAATCCGGAACATTTTGACAACGACAATAAGAATGCTCCGTGCGGGTTCGAAGGGCAGCTTGCAGATGTGCACAACTAGGCCCACAGTGGATCAGGGATCACTGCGTATATTATATAATTGCTTCAAACTTGGAGAATTAAATTTGGAGTTCTGGAAGGATACAGATTGTCGGATTTCCTGTTGATGGCGTAGTTTGTCGCCCGCAGGTTTGTTCAATGAGCTGTGAAGCAGTTCTCGTATTGGCTGCCGATACCAAGGCAGTTGGTGTTCGAAGCTCTAGATGAGGGCAAGGTGTGGGCAGTGCATGCAACAAACCTCCTCTTGTTGCGGTCACTTTGACTTTGTTGCACTCGTTGCCTGGGTAAGTTATGCCTTGGGATAGGAGTCATACTTGCAATGCTTTCTGCAACAGATGAATGAATATGTTGCTGGTTGTGAAGCACCTACTTCCGACTACTTGGGACAGTGTTTGTTTCTTGGTTTTCCCAGAAGTGGCAGCTCAGATTGCAGTCATGTCCTCCCGAAACAGCCAGGATCCCGCTTGGCAATGGGAGGTGCCCTGGAAATACAAGTTGACGACAGCAAGAGAGACCAAGTTGTTTCATATTTTTTCATGACCTTTGCTGTCTTTGCAAGTGGTTTGTATGTCAGGGCAAGATGCCAGAAGGTCACGAACCACCCAGTGACTGGCTTATGTATGACTTGACCCCTGACAGTTACAAGCGTTTACAAGCAATAAAGCTGCTCAAGGTTCGTGATAGATTGTATTTGTGAAGCTTCTTGATGATCCCCCAAGGCCAAGGATTGATGGACAGCGGATTCTGTCCTCTAGAGTGCGAGGTGGGCAAGCTAAACAAATTGAGAGCACCCAATGAACATCGCTTGATCGACTTCAGAAGTGGTTTGCTAAATCAAATTCTACACAGAGAAGTCTCAAATCGTGGGCAGGGGAGACGGCAGAGAAGTGTATACGTTGGTTTGAGTTGCAGTAGGTTGTGATTCGATTTGTGCCCATTTGACTCAGAATTTCCTTTTGCGAAAGGCTGGCGATCTTGTGGTCATCCATGGCCAGGCATCAGCGATGGACTAGACACTGAGAGAAGTGGAAGTTTGTACGACGATGCTTGCTTGAGCAAACAGCTGTTTTTGGTTGAAAGCAAGTGCATGATCAAACGCATCGTGAATTCCAAAGGAACAGCTCTCTACTGAAGAACCACGGCAAGTGCAGGTTTTGTTTGACAGGTTCACAGAGGAATGTGACACAGGACCGATCATGAAGGCGACCTGACTCAAATCTTGCCCTCGAGCAGGTAGACCATCTTTCGTTGGCCAACACCAGCAACAAGCATTCATCTCAGATCTTCTCAGATCAATAGAGAGGTCGTTATGCTTGAGGTGACAGGAGACCAACAACTGATTTCCAGGCTCAACATTTGAATGGGAAACTACGTCTTTTGGCTGGAGGATACCACACCTTGCACAGGGGTTTGCTGAAAAGCGACCGGTTTTCGCTCCAGTAAAGGCCGCGGGAAACCTTTCAGCTACATTTGGTGGAAGGGTCGCGCCCTCAGCCCAAATTGTGAAAGCACCACATTTCGAGCACCTTCGAGACACTGCAAAAAGACTAAGATTGACCGGATACTGAGGCATTTTTTCTTAGTAAGATTCCAAATAATGAGGGGCTTCTTGCCACAAGGCATCCTCCACTTCTTGTACCTTCAATTTGGGAAAAACGTAAATCCAGCATCACCTAGGAATCACTTACTGTAAAACAATGTAAAACACATTCCAATGTAGATGCCAGCCTGGTTCGTCCTTGCTGAAGAGGCCTGCCGAAGGAATTACATGGAGCCCTAGGAACTGGCCGGGAGATCCAGTTGCATTGATGGATATTAAAGGGAGTGGCCAAGACCGCCTAGAGTTGCGAGGCCAAGACAAAGTTTGAAGTTGCTTTTTCGTGCTTCTGATTTCGGTACCAGCAGCTGGAACCCTCCAAGTCACTTAATGCAAGGCTCCAGTACCCTCTCGACAAGAAATTTCCGTCCCTCAGCAAGAAGCGCAAGGCGTGGCCAGATGTGCAGGTTGCCATTTCAGTGTGAAGAGGAAGAATGCACTGCTGTTTCTCGGGTCCGCTGATTTGTTTTATGCAACTCTTCCTGCACCCTGACGCTAGAGACAAAGACTCCTAAATCAGTGATGCAGCGCTGGTAAAATACTCGGGGCCTTTGATGGCAAGCCCGACCATGACGCAAGAACCTGCAGAACACATGCAGCTGCTGATGCCGGATTGAGCATGATTGAACAGCAAGCTCCAACTCAGTTTTTTCCACTGCAGGACATTACGCCCATGTATCATGCATGATGCATGACTACTGTACAATTTCCTATGTTTCGAATCAACTGGCATCAGCCTTTTCCGCCTTCAATGATTGCGGCTCGAGCACGGTGAGCGTATTTTCAGAAGATCGCCATGGCACGACGAGGCCTACATGAGTTGAAGGAAATTCTGCCCCTGGTGGTGTTCCTCTGAAATCATGCAATGATTCTCATGGAGGGGGCATTCTTCCTAATCCTGGCGTCAACTGATGCATTGCAATCACTGTAATCGAAGCAACAGTATCCATGTTCTTTTTTGCTTTTGAGTGTGTGCGAATATGCACATTTTAGATTTAAAGATATATTGTAGAGCTTCGCACACCGGCGATGCCTGTAGGGGTCGGGGGAGGGAAAGAGAGAGGGGGATTTCATCTGAACTTGCGGACATGACATGCTGCGAGCTGCATCTTCGTTGTCGTCATCGTCATTGTCGTCGTCGTCGTTGTCGTTGTTGTCGTCGTTGTTGTTGTTGCTTCTGGTCCTCCTTCTCGTTCTCGTTCTTGTTCTTGTTCGTGTTGTCGTTGCCGTTGTCGTTGTCCTTGTTGTCGTCGTTGTCGTCATTGTCGTCGTTGTCGTCGTTGTCGTTGTTGTCGTCGTCTTCGTCGTCGTCGTCGGCGTCGTCGTCGTCGTCGTTGTTGTTGTTGTTATTGTTGTTATAGCTGTTGCTGCTTGGTCCTGTTATCGTTGTCGTTGTTATCTTTGTAGTTGGTACTTTTTGCAAACCCCTCAAAATCGTCAAATCGACGGTTTTTGCAAACCCCCAAAAAGCGCCAAATAGGCGGTGTTTTCGCGATTTTTGACATTCTCGGAACAAAAATACACCGTAAATACCGATGTTTTTGGCTCCGCGCCAACGCAAAACCACGGTGTTTACGAGGTTTTGAGCTTCTGCTAGCAAAAATCACGGTATTTACAGTGTTTTGTGGCCCGGGCCTAGCAAAAACACTCGTATTTATGCAGTTTCCTGCATGTTGTCAGAAGCTTTTTTTGGATGCCAAAGGCACAAAAACATTGTAAATTACACGATTTTTACGCGTGGACAGTACCAAAAAATTATGAAAAATTTGCCAAAAATCGACCAAAAAACGCCCAACAAGGACCTCCAAAACGCATCTTCAAATTTTACCCTCTTTTTTCCCACCCCGAACCCCCAAAAACGTGAAAACCCCAGCAGGCTGAAGGATTTTAGGGAGGGTCGGCGGCAGGGGCGCGCCCCCGGGTAGCTAAAGCTATGCTTAGCTGCCACCACTACACGGCGAGGCATCGCCGGATTTAAGCGCTTACGCGCGACAGCCGGCCAGGGGCCCAACTATGTAGGCCCATTGTGTGGCTATGTTGGCCTATGTTGGCGTATGTTGGCCTATCTTGCGGGCAATGTGGGCCCATCTTGTGGCTATGTTGGCCTCATGTTGACCCATGTTGAGCCAAAAGATCCGAAAAATGGGAACAGCAAAAAACACACTGTAAAACGCAGGATATCTTGATTATCTTGGGGCTATGCGGGCCCATCTTGGGGCTATGTTGGCCTATCTTGAGGGCTATGTGGGCCCATGTTGGGGCTATGTTGGCCCATCTTGGGGCTATGTTGGCTCATCTTGGGGCTATGTTGGCCCATCTTGGGGCTATCTTGGCCCATCTTGGGGCTATGTTGGCCCATCTTGAGGGCTATGTTGGCCCATCTTGAGGCCTATGTTGGCCCATCTTGAGGCCTATGTTGGCCCAGGTTGACCCATCTTGAGCCACAAGATCCGGAAACGGCGAAAAAATGCGACGAGCACAAAACACCGTAAAACGCGGGGGTTTTTGGCCGTACCGACTCTCCTGCGGAGAGGAGAGAACTGCCGTACAGCAATGCCACGGCCCTGAAGGACGAACTAGTCCGAGAATCCCACCAAAAAAGTGTCTAACGTCGCTTCAGAAAATCGGCGCTGCGGGACGGGGAAACACCATGGCCCTGTAGTCCGAGAATCCCACCAAAAAAGTGTCTAACGTCGCTTCTGAAACCCTAGAAACAGAACAGAAAATCGGCGCTGCTGGACGGGGAAACACCATGGCCCTGAAGGACGAACTAGTCCGAGAATCCCACCAAAAAAGTGTCTAACGTCGCTTCTGAAACCCTAGAAACAGAACAGAAAACCGGCGCTGCCGGACGGGGAAACACCATGGCCCTGTAGTCCGAGAATCCCACCAAAAAAGTGTCTAACGTCGCTTCTGAAACCCTAGAAACAGAACAGAAAACCGGCGCTGCCGGACGGGGAAACACCATGGCCCTGAAGGACGAACTAGTCCGAGAATCCCACCAAAAAAGTGTCTAACGTCGCTTCTGAAACCCTAGAAACAGAACAGAAAATCGGCGCTGCCGGACGGGGAAACACCATGGCAAACACCATGGCCCTGAAGGACGAACTAGTCCGAGAATCCCAGATGGTGCCCAAAACGTAGCACAGGAAAGCCAAAAAAGGGCCTAACAAAACCAAAAAAGGGCCTAACGTTACTTCTGAAACCCTACTAAAATTGAAAAAGACAAGCACAGCGGCGGAAAATGTCTTATTCCCTGGCGTGCTCCCCCTTGCGTCTGCCGGGATCGGCGCTGAGCCACCAAAACGCCGGACCCGCCAGCCTGAAACACCATGGCGGTGAAGGACGTAGTCGTAGTAGTAGTAGTAGTAGTAGTAGCAGTAGTAGTAGTAGTAGGAGTAGTAGTAGTAGTAGGAGTAGGAGTAGTAGTAATAGTAGTAGGAGTAGTAGTAGTAGTAGTAATAGCAGGGCAGTACCTCTTCTTCCCTTACGCGCTCCCCCTTACGTCGGCCGGGGTCGGCGGATATATATATATATACACATGTTTATATATATATATATTTATTTATTTAATTATATATATCTATACACATATTGATTAGATAGGCATATATAGTCATATATATATAATCATATATATATATATTTATACATATACATATGCATATATATATATATATATGTACATATGTAATGTATTTTTAAATACACATGATTATGTATAATATATATATACACATAGTTGTGACACATACATGCATGCATGCATGCATGCATACATACATACATACGTACATACATACATATGCTCCCCCCACCAAATAACGCTTGAAATTTGGCAGAGTGCATTGAATGTGTGACATTGACAAACATGGCAAAAGCAGGTAGAACAGACATAGTCACATTGTAGACATTGCATTGAATTTGTGACCGTGAAGGTGGTAGAAGTAGCAGCAAGACCGGACATCTTCACACTATGAACAATGCTTTGAATTTGTGAACGTGATAGGCATCGTATCAAGACCATGCTGACAAATCTTGACCTTTACCCACAATGTCCTGAGAACATGTTCTGAAGATGTTGATTTTGGCGCCTTAGCAACATTTCTTGAAAGAAGCCATATGCTTACAATGTCTTTGGGACATGCAAGGCATTCTTTAAACTGGTGCAGCATTCCTTTGAAGGAAATAACATGCCTTTCAAAAAACAAATTGATTTTGAAGAAATTGCACGTTTATAGAAACCGCACTATTCCTTGAAGAAAGCTCTATTTTGCAGGAGCAAAGGACATGATTAGAATAGATGTAATATTCCTTCTCATGAAGTAATATTTCCTGGTTTGTACTCGTAGCATTATTTTGAAGAAGTAATTCCAATTGACAAGATCAAGATTTTCAGGACGCACTTTCATTCAAAGGATGCAGCATTCCTTGAAAACTCATTCCATTTCAACGGGTAGCATTCCCTTAAAGACAATCACATTTCTTCAAGAAGGCGCTGTTCATCTCAAAGAGGTAGTGTTTGCTGTTTTCTTCACAAACAAAGTAAGTACACGCTATTACTTTCGAACAGTATAAGCACATACTCAAGTCACAAATCACACCATTTCTTGAAGGAAATAATATATGTAAAATGTTTGTGCAACATGTAATTACAAGGCATTCTTCAAACTGGCTCAACATTCCCTTCAAGGAAATAACATGCCTTTCAAGAAACAAGTCCATTTTGAAGAAATGCAAAAATGCATGTTTGTTTTGAAGAAGTACATCTTCAAAGAGTGCAGCATTCCTTGAAAACTAGCATTCCTTCTCAATAGGTAGCATTCCTTTAGAAAAGGTCACTTTTCTTCAGAAGGGGCACTGTTACTCTCACAGATTTTGCATTTGTGGGATTTTGTTTCAATAAACACGGCTCATATTTTGTCATATAAAGTATGCACTATTACTAACAAGAAATGAATGCATGCGACTTTACAAAACATAATGTAGCAGTACTTGGGCCACATGTGCAGTATGTTCTTTCAAAAACCCAGCACAGTTTGTTTTCCAACAAACATATCAAACATAGTATTACTCAGAGAAAAGATATGTTCTTCAAAGTAATGGCCCACTTTTGAAAATATCAAAAAAAGAATCTTTGAAGAAATTGCGTTTGATTGTATGATGGCTTGTATGTTGCAGGGTCTTTTTGTGCAACGTGTTGCTTCCTTTCAGAAATATAATTATAGGTAATCAAACGGATGTGGTTTTTTGCAGTGCCATGTTGGAAGAACACTATTTCATCGAAATGAATAGTGATATGTTCAAGAAAAGTGACTTTCTGCAAAGGAATGCTACCTATTGAGAGGAATAGCCCGAGAACAGAAGGATTGCCGCGAAGGAGCTTGGAGGATTGAAATTGCACACTGTAGCGGCAAAAGTTATA